ATAAGTGCGTGAGTGTGTGTGCGTGTGAGCGTGTGTGTGAGCGTGTGTGTGTGCGTGTGTGTGAGCGTGTGTGTGTGAGCGTGTGTGTGCGTATGTGCATGCGTGTGAGTGTGTGAGCGTGTGTGTGAGTGTGTGAGCGTGAGTGTGTGAGCGTGTGTGTGTGTGAGTGTGTGAGCGTGTGTGTGTGAGCGTGTGTGTGCGTGTGTGCATGCGTGTGAGTGTGTGAGCGCGTGTGAGTGTGTGAGCGCGTGTGAGTGTGTGAGCGTGTGTGTGTGAGTGTGTGAGCGTGAGTGCGTGAGTGTGTGAGCGTGAGTGCGCGTGTGTGTGTCAGCGTGAGTGTGTGAGCGTGAGTGTGTGAGCGTGAGTGCGTGAGTGTGTGTGCGTGTGTGTGAGCGTGTGTGAGCGTGTGTGTGCGTGTGTGTGCGAGTGTGCGTGCGTGTGTGTGTGCGTGTGTGAGCGTGTGTGTGCGTGTGTGAGCGTGTGCGTGCGTGTGTGCGTGTGTGTGTATGTGTGTGTGAGCATGTGTGTGCGTGTGTGTGTGCGTGTTTTTGTGTGTGTGTGAGTGTGTGTGCGTGTGTGAGAGTATCTATAAGTGCGTGTGTGTTTATGATTGTGTGTGTGAGCGTGTGAGCGTGTGTGTGAGCGTGTGTGTGTGAGCGTGTGTGTGTGTGAGCGTGTGTGAGCGTGTGTGTGCGTGTGTGCATGCGTGTGAATGTGTGAGCGTGTGTGTTATGTGAGTGTGTGTGTGAGCGTGTGTGTGTGAGCGTGTGTGTGTGAGCGTGTGTGCGTGTGTGCATGCGTGTGAGTGTGTAAGCGTGTGTGTGCGTGTGTGAGCGTGAGTGCGTGAGTGTGTGAGCGTGAGTGCGCGTGTGAGTGTGTGTCAGCGTGAGTGTGTGAGCGTGAGTGTGTGAGCGTGAGTGTGTGTGTGAGTGTGTGTGTGCGTGTGTGTGAGCGTGTGTGTGAGCGTGTGTGTGTGAGTGTGCGTGCGTGTGTGAGCGTGAGAGCGTGGGTGTGTGTGTGAGTGTGTGTGAGCGTGCGTGTGAGCGTGTGTGTGCGTGTGTGAGCGTGTGTGTGCGTGTGTGAGCGTGTGTGCGTGCGTGAGCGTGTGTGCGTGCGTGTGTGAGCGTGTGTGTGAGTGAGTGTGAGTGAGTGTGTGAGCGTGAGTGCGTGAGTGTGAGCGTGAGTGTGTGTGAGTGTGTGTGCGTGTGCGTGTGTGTGTGCGTGTGTGTGAGCGTGTGTGTGCGTGTGTGTGAGCGTGTGTGTGCGTGTGTGTGTGAGTGTGAGCGTATGTGTGTGGGTGTATGAGTGAGTGTGAGTGAGTGTATGAGTGAGTGACTAAATCCACGGGTGTGCGAGCGAGTGACCGAGTGGCTGAGCGTCTCACCTGCTATGAGGCACAGTGGCAGCAGCACTCTGAACACAAGTCCGCACACCACCTGTGACGCCATCCCCGCGTGGCTCGGCCGAGCCTCAGCCGCTGCTCCGCGCCGCCTCCCCCTCTCCGCGGGGCTCCCGGGATATCGCCCGGAGCCGCCGAGTGGGGCAGCAGCCGCAGCGAGCCAGGGGGGAGGTGAGTCGGGTGAGTAAGCCCGCCTGGCTTCTCCTTGAGACGGCCGAGTGGGGTCGCCCGGAGCTCCGCGTGGCAGCAGGAGACGGGGCCAGGCAGCGCAGGGTGATGGTGGTGGTGGTGATGGTGGTGGTGAAGACGCAACGCACCTGGACCTGCGCAGATCTCTCTGGTTTTAATATGTTCTGCAGAGTCCACGCCCGGGTTGAGTTTGTGGAGCCTCGCACGACAACTTCGGTGCCACCGTCGTCACTGCATCGCCACCGCAAACTCGGCTGCCGGAGCTCGACAGCAGCTGCGGCTGTCAGACTCCGCCGCTCCCCTCTCGCTCTCTCCTTAGAAGAGCAGAACCCCAGCCTCGCCGCCAGACCAAGGGCAGCAGCAGCAGCAGCATCACCACCACGCCTACCTCACCCCCCCACCCCCCTCTCGCGATATCTCTCTCACTCAGACACAACTCTCTCGTCTCCCACGAGGTCGTCATTTCGCAGCGTCTCTCCCCACCGGACCCCTCTCGCGCCCTCGTCTGTGACCACAGCAGCTGTGTGACGACGTGTGTGTGTACGTGTGTATGGCTGAACTTCTAACGCACCGTACGGAGCCAACCGTGTTAATCGGAGGTGCGGGAGAAGGACAACAAAACTAAACACGACAAGGCACCTCTCAACGCCTTTATTTTAAACATCTATCAAATTACATCTCACCCATTAACCTCTGCAACTTTGCTCACAGATTGAATTGTCTTTAACCTCTGCATGTCCTCTCATCCACGTGCCCCTCTGTATTTATCTGAATGCACACTCCTCACTTTGGTTCCCATTCGTTGTTAACGGCCACGTTTGTGACTCACGTCACGGCAGGCATCAATTTGTTACTTTTCACTGTCAAATTGCCCACCTCATTCGCTCACTATTTGGATGCGAATTACAACTTCACCAAACTTCCCGAGGTTCGCCCGCTGCGCTCTTCACAGCTGCGTCCCCTCCAACAGACGAGAGCTTCGCGAGCTCGTCGCACACGAACTCCGCATCATGTTGATGTGACGAGATGTTGTTGACGAGCTCGCCTGGTGCACAGGGAGGTCGTGAGTTCGATCCCTACCCTGACGCCTCTATACTTCGAGCTTGCATGTTCTCTCCGTGGTCGCGTGGATTAAAAACATGCGTAATAGAGGATTTTTTTGGGGGGGTTGGATCGCGTAAATATATAAATGTTGTGTCGTTAAACCCGCCGCCACCCGACAGCCAATTAGTAAGCTTTGTCATGTAAAAAAACATGCCAATTCGTTATTATTACAGCACACCGGTGCGTTGGAGAGCAAAACCACAACATTTACAATCTGAGTACGACGTTTCGCCAGTAATTACAACTAGCTTCATCAGGCGACAGCCAGATTTGTGGAGAAATCCTCCTCCTGTTTCGTTCCTTAAATAGAGCGGTAGATGACGTCACTCGTGTGCCCTTCACGTGCGAGGAGGGGGTGGGTAATGAATGCGTGACTCTGGGCATCCCTTACCGTCTGGGTTATTTACATGGCGAGTATCAACGTAGATAATTATGTAAGCCCATGGTCGCGACAGCCTACGTGTTCTACTTTGTTGAGCTATCATTTGTGGGCAGGTCGCTTCTGAAAAAGAGCTATGTAGCTCAGTGGGCCTTACCTGGGGAAATAAAAACTGGAGTTTTACTTTATTCCAAGCTCAGCATCCGACTGACATGGCATGCAGTTCAGTGCCTTTAGGGGCGCTATGCTGACGATGTCATCAGCGTACCCGAGATGTTCATGTTTTCGTCATATGTATGAATTTGTTTCTTACCAATATTCATAAGGTACGGTTAAAAAAAAACCTCTCCAAGCCGGACTCGGGGTAAGCCGGCAGGGCAGCCGCAATGAAGGAGACCGTGAAACATCGACCAGGAGACCGTGAAGCAGAAGACGAAAGATGTGGCTCGAAGCAGTGAACCAGGATGCGAAGGAATGTGGACGAGTGGACGTAGGGATGACCGCACAGGACAGGAAAGAGCGGAGGAGCAGCAGGCGGGACAGATCCCACACGAGTGGGGGGAATGGGACAGGAGTGAGGGGGAGAGGAACCACAAGGATTCCTTTCCACGAGGCTTTCTCTTATTGGGCCACGTTCCAATGACAAGTGTGACACGTGACCCGACGTTCCGATGACAAGAGGCCTCATTACCTCGGTTGTGTGACACGTGATCCCGGCGATGATGCTCGCTCAGTGAGCACCACGTGGGCGGAGCTCACGGATTCTCGGACACGTGAAGTTCGATTAGACGGGGGGTTGATTGTCTCATACTTACAGCTGCAAACATCTTCCTCTCACCGTTTATCTCAAGATTGTAAACATCTCCCACCTCAAGCTCGTTGATGTCACCTTCGAGAATAAATCTCATTTGAGTCTATCTCATGCTTTATCTCAACATCTCTCATGCTCCTAAACATCTCCAATCCCCACATCCCATATTCGTTAATCTTTTTTCTAATCTCACGTCGGGGGAAAAAAAAAAACCTCAGTGCACCATACATCACACGGATCTTCAAACATACGTCTCGTATCCATCATACCTCCCATCCCAACATCTCACACTTGAACTACAGCGCAGGCTTTCACGGCGGGCCTCCACGGCTCTCCCACGCGAGCCACGCGTTGTCCGGTATTTCACCGAATCATCTCGGAACAACCTCCCACCATCTCTCTTCGAGGTCACCTCTCATCTACTGGGTCACCGTGCACTCTTCCATCGTTCAACACCGCAGCTAAAACAAGGGGAGATGTCTCTAAGCTCATGTCCGTTCGCAGTGCTGATCCAGCGGTGGAAATTCCCATTTCTCCAATGGAAAAACCAGTTGACTTCCCCTTTTGGAATCCGTTTTATTTATCCTTGAGGGATGATAGGCCGAGTGAATGAGATGTTACTTACCTGGCCAGATGTTAACTACCTCGCGCCTGGTTTGCAGGAATTCATGGGTTCGACCCCGACCCTGACGTTTGTATATTTGGAGTTTGCATGTTCTCCCCATGGTCGCGTGGATTTTTCTCCGGGTCCTCCGGTTTTTCTACTCTACATTTAGAATCAACATACTTTGAGAGTATTTGGCTGCTAAAAATGTCCACATGATGAACCACTTCGTTGAGCTATCATGTGTGGCCAGGTCGCTGCTGAAAAAGAGCTGGCCAGCTCGGTGGGTAAGATGAATGAAAAACATAGAATCACTAATAGGGATTTAACGCGTCACTGTATTGCAAGTTGTGCACACTGACCACGGCATCCACTCGAGGGACCGTGATGTTGGTATCGAATCCACAAGCTTCGCACCATGGGTATTTGACAGGAAACGAGCATGGTATGCATATCTCAGTGCGATTACAAATCACAACCAAAATGCGTTCATCAAAACAAATTCGACAGCTTGCCCTATCGGTTTTTTTCTTTATTGAATTTGATGCAATTCAAAATAAAATATGCTCCAACAATATCGTATCGTACACAGCAGACCCGCAAAATCCAGGCACCGCAAAACGCGTAAATCCCACCCAACAGGGACCGACGCTCACGTGTTCGCTGCAGACAAGTGTCGGAGAGTCGCAGAGGCGACGGGCCAGCATTGCCCACGCACTCTTTCAGGTGAAGAGTTCTTTTCTAGGACAGGTACTGTACAACGCACATGCACAGCGCGGACTTGGCCATGGGGGATGCAGCGACTTGCGAACACCGGCAGTGAGGAGTGAACTAAAAGTGAAAATGCCGTCATCGACAATGCAAGCGGGGCACGCGTGTTTGGGGATAGCGGATACACTCGGTGATCAAACGAGCCCTGCCTGCTGAACCGGCCAGGCACCCCCAACACTTGCTGGGCCCAGGCAATGCCCCCGTCGCCCTCATACATTGAATCAACAACCCCTGTTCTACTGAAAGAGTACAGTAGTATTAATCACCGGCCAGCAGAGTAAACTACAGGCACGCAGCCCGAAGCGTAAATTTCAGCCTGACATGACCACTTGCCCCCCATCTGCTGCTTCTGGTGCAACCCCCCTTAGTCAAAAACAACTCGGACAAGCAACCGTGGCACGAGTTCTACCCCTGAGCCGACCAAGCCCTCGATCCACCATCTGGTGTTAATGAAGCAGGCCAATTTTCATTGTTGGGTTTACTTTTCAATGTTGCTGTTTAGAGCACTCCTTTACATATTTCCTCTGATCACCGCAGCATCGCTATCCCAGCTGTTGAGAGCAAACCCCGATAGCTGTGGATTCCTATGGGAGCCAATGGGAAGCTAATGACCAGTTACAACTTAGCACGAATTTGGACAGCGTCTTCTGTAAATCGGCTGCGGTGTTGCTCAAAGTAACTCAAGTGCCCACAATGGGCTGTTCTACCCAAGCCACATGAAGAGAATTCAGAAAAACCTTTGTCAACAAGTCACGTGTTTTAAGATAGCACCTAATTTTATCTTTCAGAATTCTGCGATAAAAACAATCCATCTTAAGGCGGTGTAATGGGCTGTATGAACCTTATGTTAAATGTTTTGCTTGATCCGGGCCCAGCTTGACAACTTAGTCCCACGCTGCGCTTTCTATCCTTGTGGAAAGCAATCAGCTGCTCAGTGGCATGGTGGCGGTGGTAGTGGCACTATCCCACCCATGCATTGACAGCTTGGTACATAGGGGATGCTGGCCTAAGGTCGCTCAGAAATTACGGGAAAGTGTGCAGATCGAACAATTGTCTAAAAAAAATAAACACTAATGTAAAAAAAACGCAACCTTTAACACCCAAAAAACAAATAGTTTAAGTCAACACCATATTGAACCAAATGATTTGAAACCCACCAGATCCATCAGAAACACGAAGAGCCGATTTTTCTGCATAAACTTTGCCTTAAAACAGCACTGCCGTACGAGCAAAGCAACGTCATTTCACCTTCACAAAATCAACGGAATCTTCTTTAACCGCAAGCTTCCAAGTGTTTCTAATGCAGCTGACCGTATTTCCCGCAACTCTGAGGATATGCCTGACCGCTTCGTCACTAAAAACCCACCCGAGTCTCAGAATACATTAAAAAATTTAAGAAAATTAATGCACCAGCATTATTACAAGAGCCAAGTCCTTTGCTCTGGGACTCTGAACAGACGAAGCGATATCTTCACTTACGCACGTGAGATAATGGTTTACCAAAAGTGCCAACAATTCAGAATGTTAAGTAATATTCCTCGAAAAGGATCTATATACTTTTTATGGGAGCAGGGAAAAATTATAAATTTAGGATTGTTAGTCCTGCTTTTTTATAAGTTTAGTACTTCCTTGCAAAACCAGGGTTAAAGCAGTATTCAATTAACACCGCCCTAAAAACAATGGCTTGCTCTGGCACAAAGATGAAGAGCTACCTTTCCCTTGTACAGGGGTAATTACTCTGTACGTATTGAGATGGGTCAGGGAGACTGCAGCTCGCTGCTCTGGGAAGGACTAGTCATGAGGCCATACTGCCTTTGGGGTTTGCCGCAAGACAGCAAAATACATTTATCCAGAGATCACAGTTCATTAGGCTACATGTGCAGGCACAAAGAGCTGTGGGGTTCAGAAGAAGAGTGCCTTATCCGGTCCTCCTATACCCCCAACCAATCATAACACAGGAGACGTAAAGAGAGGCGCGCTCCTCAACATTCATTACAGGCGGCCCCGGTTCCCAATGCGGTGCCTAGAACACAATCGAGGTGCCGTGTAGCTCGCTGGGTTCACGCCCTCACTCGCTCGCTCCCTCACTCGCTCGCTCCCTCACTCGCTCGCTCCCTCTCCTCCCTCACTCGCTCTCCTCCCTCACGCTCGCACCCTCACTATCGCACCCTCACTCGCTCGCTCCCTCACTCGCTCGCTCTCCTCACGCTCTCCTCCCTCACGCGCCCTCACGTCGGAGGCATCGAGCTGGCAGCGCTCCGACCCTGGACACTCGAATGCAGGCAGCGACTAAAGATGACAGCAGATTTGAATGCTTCAGTGTTATTATTTCACGTCGGCCTGAAACTAAATCATTTTAATTGGGTTTTGTAAATCAGTCATGTCAATATGCGTAGGTCTATTTATAGCAGGTGAGCATGGGGAACGTGGCTCTAAAACAGCTAAACTATTTTTTCTTATTTTACCAGGTAAGGCCCACTGAGCTACAAAGCTCTTTTTCAGAATCGACCTGGCCACAAATGATAGCTCAACGAAGTGGCTTGTCATGTGGAAATTTATAGCAGCCAAATACTCTCAAAGCATATTGATGTGGATGAAAAAATTGGACCCGGAGAAAATCCACGCCACCACAGAGAGACACGCAAACCCCAAATATACAGCAGCAGCAGGCGTTAGGGTCGGAATTGAACCCACGACCTCCTGCATACCAGGCGAGGTAGTTAACATCTCGCCACCGCGGCGCCCTGGAGCGTTCAAACCAGCGCTTGTGACGTCAGGCAGAGGACTGCGATGTCACTTGTGGGTCGCTCGATTAGACGTAGCTGCGCCTCTCCTGTTGTAGGAATCTCAATAAGAGGGAAAGACGTTCTTCACTCCATGCCTAATGCTTGGAATTGAATCGATAAAAAAACATACAAAGCAAAACAGTACTTCTGATTTTGCTATGGGGAGAGAGGAAGGCTGCCGACGCTTCACAATCGTCACCAAGAAACAAGGGGAATAAAACAGCAACTCAAAATCAATGTACCATTGCACAGCAGAACCAGCAAACTGGAGAGAACCGGCTGAGCCAAAGGTTAAGTCGAAACGCAATGCAGACGACCTGAGCTCAAGCGCCCCACTTCGGATGGCTCTCCTCCAGCTGTCCACACACTCGCGCATCTGATGCCATTCCGTTTGCCCGATTTAAAATGAGGCGAGAGCTTTGATTGGAGACCCTTGGTGTACATTTACCACACGACAAGCGCTACTGCTCGAAAATATTTACAATTTAGTTGCGTCTCTAATCTGGGGCACGACCTGTTCAAATTTCCTGTCGAGTCTCAAAGTAGAAGAGGTCAAGTTTAGTTGATAAGTTTGGTGCCTTGGTAACATTGAATGAGACTGCATCTGCTCTGCGTTTGTCTCCACAATCTTGAGTGAATTTCAGACTAAATGGATTGGCAAACGTATAAATGCTTTAGAAGCGAACAATGGACACAATCATAACAGTCCCTCCAAAAACATTTGATTTAAATACACCTTAAAAGTTTCAATAGCGACTTTGTTATTGTTCGTCTTTACATTACATTTATTTACATTTCATTAACTCACGTCATAATGGCGAGTTGTGAGATTCGTATAATGAGTGTCCTTTATCCCCCATCAGTTCCAAGATTATTTATCGGGTTCCTCTTTGGGGTGTTTGGCCAATTCCTTGGTGGGCAAAAACAATGTTTATATCGCATTTGTGACTGCGCCCAGTATATGCAAGTACACACAAGCCGTGCATGCTTCACTGCTTACACCAAACTGTTTCCTGAACTCGTTACATGGTCATTGTGCCCATCGGCCTATTATCGTGAATTTCGTCATTCTGGGAATATCGTTACAGGGTCTTTAGCGGCTACTTGACAGCCAGACGGTGGCGCTTTTGACAATTGACAACTGGCCACCAAGGTGCCCTGGCACGCCTGCCAGAGAAACCCCTCCATCGTGGCACAAAGCAACGGAATTAAACGGTGACATTTCAATGAATTCGTTCCCTTTACGAAAACAACGGCGTTGGTGCAATTCGCATGAGAAAGAGCAGTGCCTTTGCCAAATACCCCATCATGCCTTGCCATCTCCATCCCAGAGAGTGAGCTGCATTTGGCTTGAAAGAGAAAAACATTTGTAGATTTGGTGTTGTTTGTTGGTAAACTTTGCTCATTGGGCTCTCATTCTGCTCGAGTCTGAGCTGATGAAACAAGCAAATGTGGGGAGGGAGGGGAGGGGGGGTTCTTACTCGTGTTGCCGAAAACTATCCGCCCGCCGCAGTTGCGAAAGCGACTTTGCGCTGCTCAGCCACTTTAGACGAGACCGCCTCTTCAATCCAGAAGAGTACAATTAAGGCAAAGGCCTTCCAAACGCCGACTTAGGTTTGCTTATTAATGTCACGCACATTTCACCTGTAATTCAAAACAAGTCCCAACAGAGATGTGCTCCCAATCGTGATGCTGTGACCAGGCACGGTGAACGGGGAAGCGTGGATGAGCAAGTCTCTGCGATTGGACAGCTGCGTCGCACGACGCTTGGTGACGCTCGCCCAAGCCGCACAACCTGGTGGAAGAGTTCAGCCTCTGCAAGTGGGCCGTGACGCACTGGTACCAAGTGTCGTGATCGGTCGCTCTTCTGAAGCACTTCGCGTGACCGAAGAGGAAATATCATCAACATCGCAGAATTGGGTCGGTGTTGCCACCCTCTGCAATTTGTTTCCAAACGGAATAACGACACGGTCGGCAGTCACCGTGCTCACAAGTGTTCCTGTAGCATCATGGTTGTCTTAGCCTGTTGAAGACGGTGCCATAGTCTCGCTGTTGAACACGGGGTGAACTCGGGAAAACCGCAGACACAGGCTCTCAACTCCTGCACAATGAGCCTCCCCTCAGTCCTGTTTTCATCTGCCAATGCTCTACATCCCCTAATCACCCAGGTACCAGCTCGAATGAAGACCCTGCCATCCAGGCTGCACAGTAGCACATTTCCAGCGCTCATGTGCGGACGCGCTCTTCCTGCATGACTAAGCAACTCCTTTGCAGCTATGCTACATGCTGCTCAACATGGACAACTCGAAGGGCAACATGCTTCTCTCCCCAATTAAAACAGACAAGAGCACATTGAAACAGAGGCGGCCTGGTGAATCAGAGCACTCATACCGACCAGGTCCCAGCAGATGACCCAACACTGTTGATATACCAGGAATTAATCTAGGCTTCAGCCACCTGAGATTAATTAAACCGGCTTCTCAAGTGAACCAAATGCGATGTATATGTCACGACGACTGCACCAAAACAACCCTATTTGGATGTGTGCTCAATTAAATTAAACCCAAGTCTATGGCCTACACAGCAGATAATAGCAAAGCAACCGATGCAGTACTCTGATTACGACGGATCATTAAATGGGAGGTGAGGTCGGTAGCGGGGCTTCAGAGTTGTTTTACTCTACGAGACGCGTCTCTGCCGTTTCGAGGTAAACTAGAATACTGTTGTAAAGAATTCCATTGTGCCTTGATGCAGAGAGACCTAAATTTTCAACGTAACAGATGTAAAATTTGAAATAAACTATAATTTTGATTTAAATCTTGAAACTGAGTGTTTTTTTTAGGTAATGTTTGCCGATGTACATATTACACATTTGGGAATGCTCTATTGGCACAAATGAAGGGCGAAGAACGTTAATTCAATGAAACACTTGAGAATTCTAACGATCCCTCGTTATAATTGAGAGTGTATAAACGGAGAACTGCCGAGCTCAATTCATGCAAAGCTGAAAGGTATTTTGGCCCCAGCATCATAAGAAAATTCCTACAGGACCTTGCAAGTCCACCGGAGCAAGTGGTATGTACAAATTAAAAGTGGCCACGTGCTCTAATGAGCAGAGGTCGGGGATCATCTCCGTAAGCAGCCCTGAGCCAGTGGTGGAAGTTCTACATTCTTTTTCCTTGGAGTCAGTCTCTCAATTGGATGATGATCATCGCTACTTTCCCACAAAGTGGTACCTGTCATATCCATGCTTTGAGAGATGATGGGCTGATATGATATACAGGCGAGCATATATGTGAAAAGCAGCATGATTCAGCCGAGTGGCCTCAGAAAATATAATAGGAGTAAAGCTACCAGCAGTTGTGGGATGGTTTTGCCCTTATTAAAAATCATCAGTAAAACGGAATACGTTTCTGCTGCGATACTTAAAGTGGCCACACATTCATCGTTTTACAACTGTCGTCTAGACCGGTGATTCTTAACGATAACGGTAAGGACGTCCCTTTACAGCAGCTATCAAACTCTCACACAGAGCCCATCGCAAAAAAAGTGGCGTCACGTCTCTCTGATATTAGCACTGACCACCTAGGGGAAGGGAACTGCTGGTGTGCAGATTCAGAAAGGGCACTCATGTACCTCTGCACACCCCTTGATATATATATCAGACCCTCCATAGCCTTTTAAGGAGTCAATAGAAAATAACGATGTCTCTGCGTGGAACTTGGTTGAAAACCCCAAAATGAAAACCAAAAAGTAAAGTCACTCCGTGCTCAGACAAGCATGTGGCAACACTTAGTCATCTCATTCATGGCATTGAGCCTGGAGAAGAAATTCCACATAACTATAGCCGAGGCCAGCTACTCCATATGATGAGCACTTTCAACTTCCCTCAAAGACACTCATTTTACTGATCCCAGAGAGATGGACTGAATCGACCATTCTACCAAGATGATAACTCACAACTTTCCACAATTAGAAGTCTGGAACACGCTGCTGTGCATGGTACCTACAAAGTGTTTGCAGTTTTTTTTTTCCCCATTGTGCCATGAGGCCTGAACATTTTTCATCGGAATGTTCATTACAATTTTCTTCCAGCTGACAGAGACTGCAGCTTCCCAATGGCTTGGGAGGAAATTTTAAATGGTGGCCGAACCGGCGAGAGGATGATTGGGAGAGCGAGCGGGTGGACAGGCAATCAGGCAAGCGAGTGAGCAGCACTAGTCCATTTTAAGGTTGACATAGATGTAGCGGATGAAGGCGAGCGACGTGAAGAAGGACACAGAGCCGAGCATGAGGAAGAAGACGTAGCACGTGAGCAGCGTGTAGCCGAAGAACTCGACAGTCTGCACGGCGCCCGACATGTTGGAGCGGCGGAAGTAGTAGAAGCCCGAGTAGAGGAACATGAAGAAGCCGGTGGAGCCGGCGCTGAACACCGAGCGCCACCACCAGCGGTGGTCCTCGCCCGACAGCTGGAAGTAGGTGAGTGCCACCGAGATGCAGGCGCTCACGCTCAGCAGGATGGCAGCGACAATGAAGAGCACGCCAAAGAGCGTGTACTGCTCGCGCCCCCACACCGTCGCAAAGATGTAGTAGAGCTCCACCGAGATGGCGCTGAGGGGCGGCACGGGAGGGGTGGGGGGAGCACGGGAGGGGGGGGGCACCGTCGGCGTTAGAGGCTTGCCGAGTCGCCAAGCTAAGCGGTTTGATCGGCTGTCACGATTTGGGGTCACCATTCGATTCAAAACATCAATTATTTTCTGTTTTGTTGCCGCCGCCTTGCTCGCTTTGTGAACAGTTATGTACATTCTAGATTTGAAGCTTTCGTGACTGCAAGGATTCATACTCATTGGTTTTATTCGGTAAAGTCACGTAGGTAAAACGAATTAAAATAAACAATTAAAACACGACATTTCGGAGGCAAACGCAAGCTTCCGTCTTCAGGTGGGATCAGACACAGCCAAAATCGCTGCTTGGTGCACGTGACTTGACCGAATAAAACCAAAGAGTAGTTATGTACATGTGGATGCTAGTGTATCATTTGTAATGTCTTATTTGTACTATTCTTAAATCTTGACTTGAAGCTTTCGTGACTGCAGGAATTCATATGCTTTGGGTCTTTCGGTAGAGTCACGTAGATAGGTTCAAAGAAAATAACAAAAAATCTACGAAGTTTCGATCGCAACACAAGCGGTCGTCACCAGGAAAAAGGGGGGTTTGTCTCGAATGGCAAACTGTTTATAAAGGTTTAAAATGGGCGTAGCCCAAGTGTAATGTGAGTGATGGTCCACGGCGGCGCTCGTGGTGGGTTTCCACCAATCAAAGGGCTGCCAAGTAAAAAATTAGCATGTCAATGTAAGATCGGAGGGCGACCTCGACGGCGAGGGCGCTGAGGTGGCTATGTTAATGTGAGAGACTAGCATGTTAATGCGAGAGATTAACATGTTAATGTGAGAGACTAGCATGTTAATGTGAGAGACTAGCATGTTAATGTGAGAGATTAACATGTTGATGTGAGAGATTAACATGTTAATGTGAGAGATTAGCATGTTTATGTGAGAGATTAACATGTTAATGTGAGAGATTAGCATGTTGGTGTGAGAGATTAGCATGTTGGTGTGAGAGATTAGCATGTTAATGTGAGAGATTATTCTGCTAATGCGAGAGATTAGCATGTTAATGTGAGAGATTAGCATGTTAATGTGAGAGATTAGCATGTTAATGTGAGAGATTAGCATGTTAATGTGAGAGATTAGCATGTTAATGGAAGATCGCAGAGCCGCCACCTGCAGGTCGGCACGTGAAGTTGGCTGTGCTAGTGTGAGAAATTTAACCCGTTAATGTAAAATCGGAGACCCGAAATAACTAACATCGGAAGGTGGTAGGATGGGAACATCACAGCCAGTTATGACTTAAACTGGTTGATAACGTCCTTCCAATGATTGCTAAGTTTGTACCCATCTTCTCGGTTGAAATTGTGTCTATGTCTGTAGATATGGATGGCTCATGAGCAATCTTATTCTCTCTGGGATCAGGGCTAAGCCAGCCCTGAACAAGATCCATTTATCATTGGGAAAAGTGACAGCAGCAGAAACGTCGTAGATTTTTTGTTATTTTCTTTAAACCTATCTATGTGACTTTACCGAAAGACCCAAATAAAATGTACCATCCTTGATCTGTTTCAGTGCTTCTGACAATATTTTGTTAACGTGTACTCTTCTTTGTATGGCTTGCGAACACATTTTTTTTTTAATTGATGAATGCTTAGTCATCATCGTAGCCACAAGTGAAAGTGCTCTTCTCTTACGGACACGTTCCTAGGCTGTGTTCAAGCATGGTCGACATAACTCTGAAAGTTTTGTTTACGAGAATCACTCTCGTGAGGTCCCTGCAGTGACGGTAAATTAAAGATAAAGGGTGCAATGTCGCAATGAAGTCACTGAAGAGTGTGCACCTGACCACAACTTTAATAGATTGAAACTCGAGTTAGACAGCCCAGAACACACATTATATATGTGTGTATATAAAAAAGCAAAGCGTTTTTTGTTGCATTCTGCTTCAAGCCGAAAGTGGTGGACTTCTGTAATCCAAAGTGGAAGTGGGGTTGGTGGATCACGCAGACTGTATCATGCACGATGAGACTCCCAACCTCGCAGCTTCGCAGTGATGTTAGTTTGTCTGCTGAGAAAACACTGAACCATTCCCTATGATGGTGTATGCAAAATGTTTGAGATTTTTCCTCTAACTACGTGTGGTATAAACATCGTTCATTTCCACCTTCAGTACCATGACAAAGTGTCCTGCCCTGCACACATGTTTTATTCAGATGACAGAAACTGGGAATTCTCATTGTCAAGACCAAAGAATCTCCATGCTTAAATGGGTGCTGGCCATTGATTATCTCCGTGGGTGGCTCTCTACCAATGCTGAATATTCCATGTTTCAACGGCAGCACGGGCCAGTCTATACCAAAAACTTAACACATACACGATGTTTGAATCTGTGTTAAAAACAATTTCGTTGAAAGTGGATTTTAAAAGTTTATCAAATAAGTGTAGCCATGTCTGAATTAAAACACCGTTGTGGTTACTGAGCAGTTATGACTGAAACAGTCCGAGTGTAAACATTCACCAGGCATTCATCCTGATTTACGAGCCATCTAAATTACTCGCCACCCACTCACTATTACAACATTCCACCGCGCAAACACTCGCTATACAAAAGACGAATCAACAAAATTACTCACCATCCAAATGCTTACCACCAAAAATAATCCACCACACAAAGGACTAATCACCAACATTGCTCACTACAGAAAACACTCAACACCGACATCACTCACTATGCCACGAGCCATTCATTCACCATCCAAACACACACCACCCATACTGCCACATTCACCCTCTCACCACTACACTTAGCCCATGTGGCATGTGCTCTGTGTGATTCATGTCCAGAGTGTGCTGCATGTCTGCATGTGCTACATGTCTGCATGTGCTACATGACTGCGTGCCCTGCGTGCACTGCCCACCTGAACGGCAGGAATCCCCCAACCGTCATGTGCACGACGGCCGACTTGTACCAGGGCTGGGCCGGAATCTCGCGGGCGATGTTTTTGGTGCGGCACGGCGCATTGAATGCGCCCGCGCGGTTTTTGCCGACGATGCCACCGATGACGGTGAGCGGGAAACCGACGAGAAGCCACACGGCCACGAGCAGCAGGATGGTGGTGGCGGGGAGCGCCTGGGTCGAGCCGTTGGCCCAATGCACCGAGTTCACGATGCTCCACGTCACGAAAAATGGGGCTGCACACGTATGCACGCACACACACAAATTTGCAGCGATATTAATGCGTGCATATACAGCCCTTTTGTCAAACCCACTGTTGGATGAGAGCTCATCCCCACAATGTACGGGCCGTGGGGGTTAAATGACCATGCCGTACCACGATGGTCGGTGCGGTTAGTGAAGGCAGGGCGCAGAGACGTTTGAGCATAGTGCAGGCAGTCCTCGAGTTACGAACACATGCTTCCATGAGATAATTTTTTTTTTAAACATGAACTCATACTTACAAACTGAACCACGGAACTATTTTGTTAAGTGGAGCAATCTTCCATGAGTTGTAATGAGTGAGCCTGGGAGAGAGTGTTTGTGTGTGTGATGTAGCCATGGTGACATTACCATCACTTAGTGGTAAATAGTGGGTATTCGTATTGGTATAGCTTTAACAGACTGCCAGGGAAAGTGCTATTAGCGAGCACCTATGAAAACAGGCAGGGCACACGAGGGGTGGGTGGTGATGTTTACACACCACACCAGGTTCTCATTTGAGGCTGAGTCGACCTAGGTGAGACCCATGATCGGTTCCGATAAACGTCACCGGTGTTGGCCGTGAGTGGGAACCGAACTCGGGTCGCCAGGTTCGTAGCACAGCGTGCTAACCGCTAACACCACCGCTCCTCACAACACACACGCACGCACGCAAAGCTACATAATGCACCACACCGAAGGCCAGATTCTTAGCTCTGATTTTCGCACACCACCTCACCATGCATCAAATTAAGGTCACCAGAATCACGATGGCACGGCATTAGACGCACACCCCAAAAGGTTTGCCTAGGTAATGTAAGGTGCTGATGCTACGACTCTCACCGGCGCAAAGATAAGTAGCACGGCAGGAAAAGCTCCACCGTAATATGGGAATACGGAAGAACGCAGCTGGCACGCGAGACGCGAGCCAGGCCCAGCGGTCACTCGAGCCGGGAGACACTCGAAGCACCTTGATTACAAGCACTTGAGGTGGTTGTGGTGGTGGTGTTGTTGCTGTTATGGGACGGTTCCCTGGTGGGTGCACTGACATTAGGCTCTGCTGACTATCAAATATGGAAGGACACTTATTTGCGTTGTTATTTTACTCCATTAGCACAATTGGGATGTAATTGGTGATAAAACGCCAAACAAATCAGATTTTAAGAATAAACACATAAACAGACACTCAGCAGGGCACATAAGCAGACACACACTCACACAGGCACAGAGTTACATAATTGTGCATGCGCACGCACGCACAAATGCACGTAAGCGGTTCGGATGCTGTCGTTTTTAACTGCTGCATATTGACGCATGTTAATGTAGCGGCTGTAAAAAAGCAACCGTCGTAAAAAACGATCCCAAAATAAAACACATTTAATCGACTCTAATGTTATTTTAACTAAAGCGCACTCTGAGTGGTACATTGATGAAGTCAGCGACTTACGCTTACAGTAAGTATCGGTGCTGCAGGGTAAGTGTTTGAGTAATTGCTAGGCCCAGGGTTAGGATGGATCTGAGCGTGAGGAGTAACTCTTAAGCGTTACGGTTATATGGGTAGTAAGTGTTAATGGTAAGGTTAGGGCAAGTGTTGGTAGTTGAAGTCGTGTAACTGTTAAGGATATTGTTAAGATACATTTTAGTGTAAAGTGAGCTTAGTTCTTTCACACCTGATGACGGTTGCTTGTGTTGCAATCGAAACGTCGTGTATTCTATTATTTATTTAATTTCTACGTGACTTTACCGAAAGAGTAATTCCTGCAGTCACGAACGCTTCAAATCAAGTTTGAGCTTAGTGTTTAAATGTCAATGGTAGGGTTTGGACCAAGGGAAGCGTTCGTGAGCGGGTAAGTCTCATTGGTAAGGATGAGATAAATTTTGAGGGCTGTTAGGGTGAGTGTTTGTGTTAAAGTTAGTTGAGTGTATAGGTAATAACAATAATTTCAACTTGTAACGCACACAGTATTCACTGTCAGAGAGAGACACGAGGAACCACAGACAAGCAGGAAGGAAACCACGCGAAGATCCAGCACCAACAAATCCCCAAGCTCTGCAGTCCTCCATATACATTAAGGTGTGGAATGAATGAATGTTAACATGTGGGGGAAACCCGGAGCACCTGGACAACACCCACGCGTGCGAGAGAGGGGGAGCACATCTGGGGGAGCAGTAGTGTAGCGTCTACATCATTAGACCTCCTTTGCCAGTACCAAAATGTAATAGGGTTTTTCCCCTTTTTTCTGGCAACAAAACTGAAACCTTTTTACAAGGATTCATGTCTGCATTAACCACAATGCCTGCAGTCAAAATGCAAACAAAAAACATACTATGATAATATATGCATTGTCCTTGAAACTGATTGGTCCACACCAAGGGACGGCTTTCTTTTGAGCCTCGCCTTTTAGCGTCATCTGGTCGAGCACCAATTGGGTCGAGGCTCAAAAGAAAGCCGTCCCTTGGTGTAGACCAATCAGTTTCAAGGACAATGCATATATTATCATAGTATGTTTTTTGTTTGCATTTTGATTGCAGATATTGTGGTTAATGCAGACATGAATCCTTGTAAAAAGGTTTCAGTTTTGTTGCCAGAAAAAAGGGGAAAAACCCTATTGTTAGTAGTGCAGCGGTTGAGCGCTGCGCTACAAACCCAGCGAACCGAGTTCGATTCCCGACGAGCGACGAACAAAGTGACAACTACAGTAAAACCTTGGATTGCGAGTAACTTGGTCTGCGAGTGTTTCGCAAGACGAGCAAAATTTTTAAATAAATATAAATTTGATAAACGAGCGAGGATCTTGCAATACGAGTAGTATGTATATGCTTTGTCTGCCGAGCATCACGTGATCACAACTGATATACAAGTGCTTTGATATGAGTGCTTTGATATACGAGTGCTTTGGATTACAAACACGTTTCCGCAACGAGTTATGCTCGCAATCCAAGGTTTTACTGTATTTGAACCTGTCCTGGGTTGACTCAACCTCCCCTAGGTCGACTCAGCCTCAAATGAATACCTGGTACGTGTGTAAACATCGCAACTGGGGAGACAAAGGCGGCCAGGCGTGATGCTGGCCACCCACCCCCTCGTGTGTCATGCTGGTCTTCATAGTTGCTCGCTAACAGTACTTGCTCCTATAATCTGTTCAGGCTATACGGGGGATCAATAACTTATTACACTTCATTAGACCTCCTTTGCCAGTACCAAAATATAATAATACGGTTTTTCCCCTTTTATTTCTGGCAACAAAACTGAAACCTTTTTACAAGGACTGCAGGTATTGTGGTTAATGTAGACATGAATCCTTATTACACTGTCATCCCATAGAGATGGAACAGGTGGAGTTCACATGCGTGCTGCACTGCCGTCTCCTGGCAAGGCAGGGTATGATACCCTCCTCGATGCCCATGGCAAGGGAGCTTCGCAACACTTGTGCAATCCACCAACCCTTACTTCCACTGGTGTGACAACAGGCGTGCGCCACCACTGCCAGGCTAAGCGTTGGTGCAAGTGTGTTAAGAGTGTTTGTGTTTGTGCTTTTTGCTCGTGTGTCTGCATTTAGACAAGTAGTAGGGTAAGTAGTATAATTTAGCTTTTTACCGAATTAGTTGCTGGTGCTAGCCTCCTCCTTACGATGACAGTAAAAATAATTGTGAGCGATAATGTTCATCACCTTTGCAGTCAACCTTAGTGCAAGGGGTCATAATTTGCAATAGGATCACAGAATTAACTACTTTCAGTCACAGTGTTACACAGCTCGAGGCAATGGCACACTGCTAGGAAATCGTGCTGCACGTGGTCACCAACCTGGGGACCACGTCCAAGTCTTGGGACCGGGGTTCGCACCGAAGCTGGTGGTAAACACTCTACCAAATAATTTATCTCACCTGCCACATTGGCCGTCTCTTAAGCGCGGCGCCAGCGTGCTTCCCCCCCATTCACACGTCCCATGCGTTTGAAGTTCATTACTTTTTTTCCTTCAACGTGCCCACTCCGAGGGATAGCCAAGCGCGCGTCTTGAGTTATGGGCGCTGCAGTTTCGAGGTGGGGTAATCAACGGGCCTATGGGCCCCGGGGCGCGCCCGCCGCTCCGCTCTCATCCCCTCCAGGCGGCTCTTAATTCACACATCGAGCGGGTGGGCGGCTGGGTTGCGACACGAACGGCCGCCACGAGCCTTCATATGCTGTCTTACAATGGCAGACAATTTATCTCTCGTTTAAAAGAACTTGCTTCGGCCGTGTGTCAAATTACATTCATGCGCGCATTTTTTTTCAAGAAACGAGACTGCATAATGGGTGTCATCTAGCTGACAATGTCTGTCGATTAAACAGGAGAATAAAAATAAATCAGCCTAAGAGTGTGTTATGTTGCTTCAAGGAAATGATTCTTCCTTCTTGAGCCTGTGGGCCTTCTGCCACCCTTATAAAAGATAATTAATCACCAGCCTCTGTACATTTCTTGCCAGTGGAATTTGTTTATACCGGGTAACCTTGGAATGGTTTTATCTTTATCAGCAAGATGCGGCCTCATAAACCAAAACGACTGTCACATTTGCGGAAACAGCCTCCCACAAAACCATGTGGGGTCCAAATATAAAGCTAACAGTTCATCAGGCCACACCTTCATAAAGGGACTCGGCAAAGTCTAAATCCCTCCGATGAATATTACCGGGAGACATTAATAGACAACAAGCCATCGTGTGGCTAATGCATCATTTTATAGGTGTCTGGATTTGATGTCAGCACTTCAGTAGAAGTGTGCTGGCTCATAGCAGTTCTAACTTAGTGCCTTGACAGGAGTACAGCATGCATTCATGCAGAGTCGTCCAAATGCCTCGAAAACACAAATGGCTGTCAGGAAGCCCTGGGAACCGGCCCACCGCGTGGGTGGCGCGAATACGCAGCGCTGGGGAGGGAGGCTCTATGAGTCTGGGGACCGCACAGAGCCCTCGCTCCCGATATCTCCCGCGACATCACACGCATGCCTACCATCACTCGCCACCTGCGGTTCATCTGTAGAGGCGGGCCATCCTAATGGACGGGCCATTCCTCAGGCTCCACGTTCTCCGCAAGTGCAGCTATGTGCGGCTCGTACACCGCGGTCCGACTAACGGCACCGCTTCGCTAAACGCGTCAGCGCAGAGAAGTTGGTGGCGCGAGGAGCGAGTGGTGGTGACTAACGAGCCTTCGCCTCCATCAATTATCTCTGCCCGAGCGCTTGGCGCCGTCACAGCTATGACGATGCCTGCGGCTCTCCGCCCGACCCGAAGACCTCGGAGGTATCCTCGTGCCAATCGCTCAACGGCCACGCTGGCACGATTAAAGCTCTATACACACACGGCTGCGTCCAGCGGCCCATTTGTAGCAATGCAGGTGGTCGGCTTCACCTGTGAAAGTTTAATTAATCGGCACGCTTGCTGCCGCTGATTCTGTGTGGTGGAAACCCACTGGCCGAGTTATTTTGTAGGAAAATCCTCATGTGACGGTTCCTGACACATGCGGTTTCTGACTGATGCTTTATGTGGTGGTTTAGATATGATTTTGGGAGCCCACTATAGTTCATCATTACTTGCGTAACAGAGAACTTGGACACTATTCAAGTAACACAATATTTATTCAATTGAAAGTCAGTGCCTCCATGATCCAAGGGAACATGGGTCAGTGCTCATCTACAATAACAGCCCAAGGTCTGTGTAGGAAATTGCCATATCATTATGGTGGACACCCCATGTATATTATACACAGAGAATGCAAGGGCCCCCATTTAAAACTCAAGTCAAGTTTGTAAATATCCACATAATTACAACACAATATAATTAGCATTTCTAACAGCATCTAAATGCCAGCCACATCGTGAGATGCTGTACAACAGTGGACCATGGGGAGAGGTGGAATGTTCATTAATTAAAACAGAATAAGAATATTTATTTATACAGTCATACGGGAAGGGCTTGAACCTGGACCTGAACAAGGGCAGAGAGTCAACAACTTGCATGGATGGGGGAACGGAGTTCCAAACCACAGGGCCAAGGACCAGCAGTAGAGAAGGGGGTTAGGTGAGTGTTTTTCCAAAGAGGCCTTGGTTAGTGGACACAGCAACTACGCGATGAACCAACAACCTACTTCCTGTACTGATACCTGCAGGTTGTGAATGCAAATGAAAATGTGAGGAGTCACCGGTGTTTTTTTCAGCTCTACAACTCAATCAAGGATCTGGGAAACAATTAAAATGCAAAATGAGCAAAATCTGTTTTTCTGAGCTTTAGGAATTAATAACGATGAACCCTAATAAACCTAAAAGTTATTTGGTGTGGCTTTCCGAGGTTCAGGAATTAATTATGAAGCCTGTTAATTCTAAAGAAGTTACCCTGGCACCATGCATCAGGAACTAACAGGGAACGCAATCATTTCCATCGCACCTGAGTATGGCTCAGCCCTAGAAATTCACAACAAGACATAAGGATCCTGAAGATACCAGTCTGGCTTCAAGTTTCAGATATTAATGAACCAAAAGAATCATGAAGGTGCCTTATTCTAATTGTGTTACAATATGTCAATCTTGATTTGATTTATTATTTGTGCAAAAACAGTTACTGGACGTGTGAATTCTTGTTCATTAAACTCAAATAAATGAATTATCATTGTATAAGCGTCGTGATGAGCCGCGACATCACAGCCACCGCGCATGTCCTTGTTTTTTTCCCGACATCTGCAACTCAATATGCGTCTATTAATACAGACACATGCTGCCTTGTGAACGTGACTGCACAGCGGCACGGGCGAGCAAGTGGGCGGACAAGGCCCTGTAGTGCAAATTACTGCAGCTCTGAAAAAGTTCTGCAGCCAATTGGAAGCTGTAACCCTATACCCAAGTCCAACCCTACCAGCCTCATTCCCATTCATGGTTATCGTGCCCCTATTACTACATCTACGAGACAACATGTAAGATATAAGAATAGGTTTTACCCTTTCTGGCAATAAAACAGGTGTTAAGATGTTAAAACATCAAACTGAAACCTTTTTGCAAGGAATGTTTGCATTAACCAAATATACTTGTGGTGAACATGCAAACAAAAACGATGCTCTGGTAGTATATGATGCATTGTCTTTGAAACTGATTGGTCCACACCACAGACCGCTTTTTTTAGAGCTTAGTCTCAAACAGTGTTAGACCAAAGGACGCCAAAAGGTGAACAGCACAAAGACAATGCCACTATCAGGACATTGAGAGCTCAGGGTGAGCAGCTACATAATGGGGCCTCCCTTGCCAGTGTCAAAATATAAGAATAGGTTTTACCATTTCTGGAAATAAAACAACATGAGCAGTTTTGTCCTTCTAATTATATTTCAACCGTGCCATCAGCTAAAGTCACGATTTGTAAAACTGTTCACCACTCCATGTCAAGAGGATGGCCCTGGAGGATGATGTCACAAAACTACTTCTGAACGTATTTAATTATAGGTCTCTTCAGCTCACGAGTGGCACATTTTTTATAAGCTCTGCAAAGAATGTTATTCTCAGAGGTGGAATAAGCCAAATGAAATGAAAACCCAAATTTACGAAGATAGTTTGTACGGCCATTGGTGACTATCCTGTGACCATCACTTCCTGAATACTTGAGAATGCTGGAGGGTCACCAGGTGGCTCAGAGGTCAGAGCCCTAAGCTACCACCGCCGAGGTCCCCATTCTCAATCACGTGCGGCTGAAATCCAAACTCAAACTGAACATCTCAGCTGTGCCGGGGTCAGTTGCCTAGCGCGGTACTGCCCACCCACCTCCCGAGCCTCCCGGCCAGGGCCCACACCCAGTCCCCCCTCCGATCGGTGGCGGCCGCTATACTGCCGACAGTGTCCGCGTGGTTCAGCCCTGCAGCAAACGGCGGATTACCGGAGAAGAGCGAGGTGGTGAGCACGATGTTCCACACCCAGTTGGTGCCCTGCAGGCGGCGGTAGAAGCCACTGGAGACGTAGCCGGCGATGCAGCACGTGAAGGCGTAGAGCAGGATGGCGGCCGAGTTGATGGCGCCGTGCCGGTGAACATTAAACATCCCCATCAGTGCCATCACCAGGATGCCTGCCCGAGGTAGAGACAAACACCGTGGGTTTAGACGGCTGGAACAATTATTTTGCCCGTGAAGTTAAACACGTTGCCATAATTCTGGGTAATGATGCAGGATTAGACTACAACTTTGCATATCCGACCTTCCCATTGCCACCCCAACTAACGGCCTATACGCAGAGCAGTGGGTGCACACGGTGTAACTGTTGTGTTCACAAATCCGACATTTTCACACTCAGTTCTTGATTTTATGTACATTCGCTTATGTCTCAAGTACATTAAAGCAATTACCCATGTTTAAAGCAGTTTGCTCATAGTTAGATATGCTTCGTTGTCCTGTACATTCTTTATTCTTGAGAATTCGTGGTACCACGAATCCTCATAATTCGTATAATATAATTCACTCCGCTTGCTTAAATGTAACATTCACATAAACTTTCCCAAGGATGTGAGCAGCAAGTGAGTGGGCAGGCAACCAGTTACACAGCCGGGCAAGTGGGTGCGTGGTGTAAGTGGGCGCGTGGTATGAGTGGGCAAATAAGCAGGAGGTCGCGCAGACTGGTGACTTGGTCAGTGAGTGAGTAGGTGGATTGGTGATCACGTGACCAGGCATGTTGGCGAGTCAGCGAGTAAACCCGTGGGCAAGCGGCAGAATGAGAGTGCGGTTTAGTAGGCCGAACCTCGCAGTGGCAGATTGGATGAAACGGGTGAGCAGGTGAGGGGTCATGAGAGTGGGCGAGGTCAAAAAGAGGGTGGGCAAGCAGGTGAGCAGCGGCCCGGGCTGAGCGCTCACCTGTGGTGAGGGTGAGGAACTGCGAGCCCACGCCCAGCACAGCGCACAGGAGGCTACGGTGCTGGGGGAAGCGGAAGACATCTGCGTGGATGATCTTCCAGCCGTTGTCGCCCTGGTCGAAGTCCTCGGCCGCCTCGTCGCCCACGTTGTAGCGGGCAAAGTCGTTCTTGAGCACGCGCATCAGGATGATGAGCACGAAGCCGATAAGCAGGAACACGAGCACCATGGAGTTGATGATGGAGAGCCAGTGGATCTCTAGCGTCTTGGGGAAGAAGCTGCGGTCGCGCAGGCGCTCGCCGCGCCGCTCGTACGGCACGCTCGTGGGCTGCCACTTGACAGTGTAGGTGTGCGTCACCACGGCGCCGGGCTCCAGCTCATCCAGGCTGTACGGCTTGGCGTCACGCGTGCTCACGTTGGCAAAGATCACCTGGTCACCGTTGTACTCCACAGTAAAGTGTAGGTGTGTCCACAGCCCCACCTGCCGCCGGCACCAACAACAGCATCAACGACAATGCCGTAATGTGGTGCCAGCTGTTGGTTCGTTTCCCATTTGGAGTTCCTCCTGCATGGAGGTGCTGTTTCTAATACAATAGGTGGCTGTCAACCCATGAACATCAGAAGGGGAACTGCGTTTCAATTTGGAATTAAAGAAGCGCTTGCACTTCTCCCCATCTTACGACAAAGCAAAAAGCATTGTTGTAACTACTTCTGAAAATCACTTCAATAGGCCCTTGATCCACATTCGGTACACACCATTACATATGCATAGTGGTGTATTTGTCACATTCCAATTAAACTGAAATTTAAAATAAAATGTTATATGGTGTTTAATGCAGTTATTGGTGATCGGGCTGAGATCAACTCACTACACTTTGAGCCACCCATAATTAAGGGTGGCTCAAACCTGGATTCGAAAAACAGAGCTATGGTGCTGCTGTCCTCTAAGCCACCTCTATACGGTTCTTTCAGAATCTGCACTTACAATGAGGGCTGGAATGAATCAATCAAAAATAGACGCATACAGAAAACTAATATAAATTGATAACAATGTCATTAATTTTTCTAGGGAAACTGAATTGAGTCAACTTTTTTTTCTTCAAATTTTATCACGAGCTTCGGGCTATCGACGGAAGAGATAATATTGCCCCGTGCTTGCTTAAACAGGACACTTCCAATGATCGTAACTATGCTTATAACATGCATGCATATTTACTGCATTTGCCCAGGTGCCCACCCAGCTGCCCGCCCGCCCACCCGCCCGCCCGCCTTTCCGTCTCCCCAGCCACCATACCTTGTGAGAGTGCGGCAGGAATCCGCTCTCCTCCACGTATCCGACGAAGCCGCGCAGGGGCACGTCCTCGAGCACGAACTCGAAGTAGTAGAGCTCCTCGATGGCCTCGTGCAGCTGGTGCAGCTCGGCCTGCGCCAGCGTGACGTCGCACAGCTTGCGTGGCTGCAGCACGTCGCGGCGGAAGTGCAGCTCGTAGATGGAGCGTGCCATGCGGTCGCCATCCAGGACCTCGCCCAGCGTCAGGCTCTTGTGCTCAATGTGTTCGGGCCGGCACACGGGCAGTGTGTAGTAGTGGTACGTCTCGTGCGGGTTGTGGTACGGCCCCACCTTGTTCACGTACAGCGTCACCACCTCGCCTTCTTTGAAGTGCGAGCCGCCCGCGTGCGCACGCCCCACCACCGCCGCCGCCGCCAGCAACAGCAGCGGCAGTGCGGGCGTCCTGGGGGAGCGGCTCGCCATGGCGGAGTGGAACGTGGGCGTCAGGGAGAGCTGCGGGATAAGAAGAGAGCGCCGCTTGGTCAAGCTCGTGCCAAGCGCACGTGGCAGAGTAATTGTGTGTTGGATCCTGGGCTGTTCTTGTGCCGCCGCTGTGTCCCCGTGAGTTTAAATGAAGGGCCCTTCACAGATGAACCATGCTGAGGGAGCATCACGGTGATGGAGAGCCAGCACGCTTTAACTGGGCTTACACCAGAACGACATCACTAGGTCACCCGCGGCAACAAGACAAATATGCTATGACGTCACTCAACAAACCTGTGCATTTATATTTTATACCTCTAAGCTAACATATAGCAAGTTAGTAAACTCTCTTGAACTTGCATTAAACAATGGTACAAACTTTACATTTTTTTAATGTAACTTAATGACCACCACTATTCCCCTGACCTCATGTAGATTCCTGCCCAGTGATGGTGTCCACCTGGGTTGGATAGTAAGCCATGCAGAGGTCATGGGAGTGTGGAGACAGAGGGCAGGGGGTAGGGGAAAGGGTGGAAGGGGATGAGGCTACTTGGTCTGTGGCATGACACACACACAGGCTCAATATGCAAACCAATATCCCACTCAAACGTGGGATAACGTTTCGAACGTTAATCAGGGGTGACAGCAAACTGACACCCAGAGCAAAGGCAAGTTGAGTTGAAGAGCGAGCCAGTTGTGGTTTGAACCACTGTCCACAGACAATTTCCAAACAAGGGCCGTGGAACAAACTTTACTTTCTCAGGAGTTACAAGGAACATAGAAGCCACATAAAAAATGTCTCTTTGCTTTTTGCTATTGTATGAGGTCCGACATTTCTCTACATATAAACACAAGAATGCTTAAATCACTGGAAGATACGTTGCAATGAGCTTTAACAATATATTTTTTAACCTAAAAACAAATGTATCCCAAGTATGGCTGTGCTTTAACAATGAAGGGGACTTAGTTATGTAATGAGGGGTCTACCAAAAATCCGGTGTGGTGGCATGCCTCCGTGATCAGCACTTTGGGCGGCAAGGGTTAGTGGATCACAAATATGTGTTAAATGTCTAAAACCATTGGGCTGCGAGATGGCCTAATGGGGTGCCACGGTGGAAAGATGTTAACTACCGTACCTCGCATGGTATACAGGTCGTGGGTTCAATCCCGACCCTGATGCTTGTATATTTGGAGTTTGCATGTTTTCCCCGTAATCGCATGCATTTTTCTCGAGGTCCTCTGGTTTTTCCCTCCACCTTTAGAAACATGTGTTTAAGAGTATTTAGCTGCTATCAATTTACACATGATAAGCCACTTTATTGAGCTATTACTTGTGGCCAAGTCGCTTCTGAAAAAGAGCAATATAGCTTTTTGGACCTTATCTGGTGAAAATAAAATCGATATACATTTTAGATAAAACCATTGTCTTATCCTATCATTAGATGGGCTTTGTACAGACCATCGGAGATGCTCCACACAAATAAAAACACTCCTGATAAGGGGGAATTGGCCAAACATCCCAATGCAGGATCCGGCTACAATATGCACTTGGGATTCAGTAATATTTTTGGGATAAAATACCATTATAAGATATTCATGTAAACTATTTAAACTATTAAGAGGGCTTGCCCAGAAAATTTCACTGAAAGGAATGATGGCCGATAAGTCAAGAATAGTAATGGGAGTAGTAACCAAAGAATGGAAGATGCCTGAAAAGACATCCAACCAAGGAGATTGAGCTCAGTTGACATGTAGGTGCTCGGTTATTATTACATTACAGGATCGTGAAAGGTGGTGGCAGCGTAGGGAGGCATTCATCCAGCAGGTAAAACTTTTCTGCAAAGTTATAAAAACTCTGTTATGGAAACGGTATCTGCAACACCCGGGGGGAGGGGTCTCATGGCGATCTCACTGCGAAAGTGGTTGGGATGATTGCCGATTACAACAAGTATGAAAAACAACAGTTTTTGCATTTAAGTTTGGCAAAGGATGCTACGTGTGTTGCTTGCAAAAGTTAATCATGAGAATTCAGCAAATGCCAAACTCCATTTAATCCATTCATATATCTCGTATACGAGGTAAACGTCAAGCTTAGGTCAAATTGTCTCCCAATTCAAAGGAAAAATGGTGCAGCATTCATCTCCACTGGTAACCCTGAGTTACTGATGGAAATTCCACATCCCCATGGCGAAAAACAATCACTTCATAGGCCTGCCACGATTGATTTTCCAAAAAAAGGTTCTCATTTGGTTGACACTAGAGGGACGACAAGCTTAGTCATCTGCTGACCAGGATTTATGTTTATACGTTTTAATTAAGTGGCCTAAATACAGCAACACTCGGCCAGTGTCGGGATTAAAATGGTAATGCATTAGTCTTGTTGTTTTCCCATGCTGTTGCTTTGACTTGTGATGACCTCCTGTATCATTTGGGGAGTGCCGCCATTTCTAGACTTAAATGTAGGTTTTATCAGCTTTAATTGATTAATCATGAGTGTCTTTTGTGGGGTTGTCGAGTATATCATTAAGGTAATTAATCATAGTTGCTTAGGCTCTGGTCGACATGTTATTTAAGCAGTCGTTGGTCAGTAAAGCTGTTGGTCCACTTTTTGCAAAAAGTTCGCTTTTAAACATGCGTCACTTTTTTACCTTTCTAAAGTTTGTGCGGAATGCACTTTTCCACGCCCATTGCCCACCCCCCCGAAGGCACTGAGGAAACACAGCAATGAGTGAATAAATATAATATTTTCCTGGGTCAGGACGTGACACGCTGCCACGTAAACTCAACGGTCAACCGGAACAGGTATCGTGGTTTCATGCGAAGGCAAAAGCCGTTCCGGGTGGTGGTGCACGAGAGCACTGAGCCGGCAAAGATAGAAACTGGCTCAAACTTAGCACGTCAAGAACGGGGGGGGAAGAAATTGTAATCCATGATGAAACACCGAATTGTGTATACAAATACTTCACCCGCATTCTACGAAACAAGTTTATCATGTACTCTGTTTAGAAGCTGTGAGCCGATTTACACTAAAGTTCCTGAAAAATCTCAGCTTTCTAAGCACCCAATCGGGTTAGCGTGGCATGCACGCAATGGGTAGTGAGGCCAGGATCAAGCAGTGCTTTGTATGCCCGCTGCTGTTGCGCAAACACCACGAGGCACTCATTTCAGGTTGAGCGTAGCGATTGGCACTTTAGCAGAGCGGCTATGTAGTTCGTAGGAAAACGACATTACTAGTGGCCGTTTTGCGATATCATCAGTGTCAACCTCTTAAATGTGGCACTGCACTTTCGTGGTGAAGAAACTTGCAATAAAAGTCCTTCTGTGCTGACAGTCCCCAGAATCACAAATCTTAAATATAATCAACAAAAAGTAAACAATGACAATCCACATGTAACCACCTTCAACAATATCACTGCCGTATAATACACAGGCACGGCACATATAAACAGACGTGTCTTTGTATGCCGCCCCAAACACGAGAGAGTGAAACTCAACTTGCTCTCACGAGGTTGAATAACGGGCACTGACAAGCGAATCTCAATGAGCCCTTAGCTGAACAAATAATGGGACACGTTCAATACAGGATGGAGCGACACTTCACCTGTTTCGGCCTGCGCGACACTCGCCGCCCGCCACTATCAACGTGGACTCCGACTCCAACTCGGTGAATAATTTACGAGGCGCTTCACAAATTAACTCACGGCTCGGTTGGACTGCCTCGGAGTCATGTAGCAACGAGAGCGCAGCGGCGCTGTCAGTCCGCACAAAGGCCAAGTGGGCAGGCGGCAAGGCACCTAATGCGACATTTCAACCGAAGCTCGGCGGGATTCACGCCGAGCGATGCAACTGTCCGCGCAGGTCACGGCGCCGCCGTCTCGTCGTCCGAACGAAAAGCGAACTCAGTGAGCAGCAGCAACAACAACAAAAAACATCATCAAGACACGTTTAACCTCGGGCCTACTGCGGGCGCCAGTCAGGCGAACGCGGCCTCCGCGCTCCACCAGTCGACGGCTCCGGGCACCGCGGCCTTGGCTCTGCTGCTGCGCGCGGTCCCTTCCCCACACCACTACCGGTGGCCAAGGCGGGGTGCGCGCCGCCGCTACCGCGCGGCCTCTGTCTCTGGGCCCGGGATTCTCCGCTCCGCCGTCTCTGCTCGGCCGAACTTTCTCCGCGGCCACTGCAGCCGCTCGCTCCCGGAAGCGGCGCACGTCACCACGCTTCCCACAATGCCCCGCGCGCGCGGACTCAGAATCGACTCCGCCTCCAATCTCTGCTCTTCCTTTGCGTTGTCGTCGACAGCAGTTTACTAATAAAGTAGCACTCTATAGTAAGCACTCTATAGTAGGTACTCTATAGTAGGTACTCTATAGTAGGTACTCTATAGTAGGTACTCTCTCTATACTAGTACTCTATAGTAGGTACTCTCTCTCTACTAGTACTCTATAGTAGGTACTCTCTCTCTACTAGTACTCTATAGTAGGTACTCTATAGTAGGTACTCTATAGTAGGTACTCTCTCTCTCTACTAGTACTCTATAGTAGATACTCTCTCTACTAGTACTCTATAGTAGATACTCTATCTCTCTACTAGTACTCTATAGTAGGTACTCTCTCTCTACTAGTACTCTAGAGTAGGTACTCTCTACTAGTACTCTATAGTAGATACTCTCTCTACTAGTACTCTATAGTAGATACTCTCTGCTAGTACTCTATAGTAGATTCTCTCTACTAGATACTCTCTCTACTAAAGTAGTACTCTATAGTATATACTCTATCTCTACTAGAGTAGTACTATAGAGTACTCTCTCTACTAGAGAGTACTCTATAGTAGATGCTCTATCTCTACTAAAGTAGTACTCTAGAGTACTCTCTCTACTAGAGATGTACTCTATAGTAGATACTCTTATCTATAGTAGAGTTGTACTCTAGAGTACTCTCTCTACTAGAGATGTACTCTATAGTAGATGCTCTATTTCTACTAGAGTTGTACTCTACAGTAGACTTGTACTCTATCTCTACTAGAGTTGTACTCTACAAAAGCATAAACGGTCGATTGAATGGGGGAGATGGTGTAGATTTTACTAAACCTCCCACATTCCCGTCAACCCCTTATCAGTGCCGCCTAGCTTATCACAGACCAATTCAGACCCTATTGGTCACCCCGTGCCCTTATACATCTCAGCGTGCATCCTACAAGTCCCATCACGAGGGAGAAACACAAACAAATAGACACTAAAACATCGTTGTGCCCGTATTTACACGGCTGTACGCCGTATGGGCCGGACAACTCAATTCCCCTCGACAAGAATACGGGTAGACCGTATGGCTTGACAGCTGTGATCCTAATAGGGGTTACCACTGTTCGAGACCGTCCATAAATGACGTCACGCGATTTGGGACGATTTTTCGACCCCTGCCCCTCGTCACACGGCGTCACAAAAAGTCAGACCGCCTTCAAATATGACGTCACAAAGCTCTGCCCCCCCCCCCCCCTCAAAACCATATTTCATGCTTTAAATCACTTTAAACTATTGTCATTGTAGTGCGTATTTAATGTGGCGCTGTACTCTGATGTTGTAGGAGAAAACATTTATTAAAAAGTGTATTTAATTAAGTAGAACCTGTTGTCTATATTTATTTGTGACGAGGGGGGGGAGGGGGTTTGAGAAATGTGACGTCACATCAAAATGCGCAACTTTAAATAAATATAAACAACACTGTTGTTAATTAAATATAATTGACTTAAGGCTTTCGTGACTGCAGGAATTCATATCCTTGGGTCTTTCGGTAAAGTCACGTAGATAGGTTCAAAGTAAATAATCAAAAATTACAGAAAACTACCGACGTTTTGATCGCTATGCCAAGCGGTCGTCTTGATGATTATTTCCTTTGAACCTATCTACGTGACTTTACCGAAAGACCCAAGCGTATGAATTAGAAGTGTTATAACAACATGAATTTTGATAAATTTTCATTATTAACTTTTTGATTATTTAAATTGATTCAGGTTACCTTTTATTTGTAGTATAGATGATATTATAATGTGAAACGTGAGAACTGGAAGTAAAACTCATTGGTTTTTTCGGTAAAGTCACGTATGTAGAAACTCATTGGTAAAAATGTTATGGTATGTCTACATACGTGATTTTACCGACAAAAAACCAATGAGTCATTTATGCAGTCACGAAAGCTTTAATTCTTTAGAATAATACTTCGTCAGGAAGAGGAAGCGCAAATAAAAATTGTATGCAGTCATTAAAAACGCTTGATAGTTTCGAATAAGAATTTTAAAAACGTAAGTACTATTATTCCTGTCATATCAATCGACAGACTTTTAAATCACACACATTTGTTTATTCAATGTACATTTTTTTAAATATCAGTATTTAATTTTTATCCAATTATTGTTACGATAAAATTTGGGTACAAAGATATCAAACAGCCATTTTTGAGCATGTAGGGATAATGAATAATGTAGTACCTACTCTAGATAGACGTCATTCGGCAGGCGTGCAATAGCCAACGCGTCCTCCATTATTCATTATTCCTCCATGGAATTTGAGTTCTTTGTACCCAGACTATGGCGTAATGCTTCATTTCGCCATTGTCCGACTATGAACCATGAGTGACTGAATTTAACCATTTAGGGTCTTTGATTTAACTACGAAGTTCCCTTATGGAAATGAAAAAATATATAAACCGCTCACGATTCAGTATATCGTGTGCACGATTTAGTATTTTATGCGCAAAAAATAATCAATTGTCCGCAAGAACTAACCATTCGCACAAATAAAATAAATTGCGCATATAATTGAAATTGAGTTGTTTTACATGTTTCTATAGATGTGCTCCGTATTAGCTCATTTTATTTTTTTAAATACTTCGTATCAGTTTCAGTTCATTGAGTAATCATAGCAAACAAATAATCATAGCTTATAAAATAATTCATGAATTTAACGCTATCTAGTAAAAATATTCAAAATATTCAGGCTGGTCATTACTTTCAACTCAAATCATAATCAAAATATACAACAGTTATAAAATTGAATAAGTAAAGTGTATATTATACCAATAAAATCTAAAATATATATTTTTTAAGCGAATTGACCGCTACAATGGACACAATAAAATGTACCGGTGTCTTTTTGACGCGCACGTGCTGGAATATTCTACAAAGAGCAGAACGGTTTGCCAACAAGAATTGGTTCAAAAGTGGAATTAAATAAAAAAAAATTCTACAGATTTGCAAGTTAAAGTTGATCATTGGTTGCAAGAATTAAAGGCGATTTCCACCACAAGAAAGGGATCACTTCTTACGTTTTGAGCTAAACAAACATCATCTGCCGATAAAACCCCCAAAAATGTGCCTGTCGAAATACTTCAGAATTCTGTATCGCAGTCTGATGGACAAGTGAGCGATGCTCAGGCTGATGATTCAGCGCCTAGTACTAGGAATTCAGCAACATTGCAGTCACAGATTGACATTCTAAATTCTGATCTGGTCGGCTTGTACGAACGCCAAAAACGTGGAATACTTACACAGCAACATGATGTGGAACTGACAGAGAAGAAGAAAAAACAACTGAATTGGAAAACCAGTTGAAGAAGAAAAAGGGTGATCAAAAAAGAGTACAGAAAGGAAGAGATGAGAAGAAAATTAAATTAAATTATCTGTTTGAAGATAATCCAGACCTACGCACATCTCTGAACGTCAGGGCCAGGCCTGCTAGGCCGAAAATTGAGGAAGATCAGCCTTCATTACTGGAAGCTATTGTGGATATTGTGAATATTGCTATGCATGGATCGGTATCGCATGAAAGAAGGCAGAGCGATGTGTAGAGAACCATAAACACATTACATCAGCTGACTGAACAGTTGAAGATGGATGGCTCTACAATCAGTACAGGTGGGCTCTACCTTCGTCTTTTGCCGTCTTGAAGGGCAGCGTCACGTGTCAACGCTCCCTGTGAAACTCATCAGGGCACAGAACGACCACCATGGCAAACATATCGGCGGTTTGTTTTGTGCGGCAACAATAAGGCACTTGGAAGAGTTGGCGGCCATGCCAGGACCGAACGGTGTGTGCTTTGTGAGTCAAGACGAGAATCAATTATTATTCCGCCTAAACGCATCAGGCCATAGAGAGTCGCTGCAACGTGAACTAATGGTTGTAAATCGCGAACGAAGAAAATGGAGAGAGTGGAGATTGGATATACGAAGGAGAGCTTGATCTGAATAGAATATCCATTCCACAGGATGAAGATATCTCTGCTCTCCCTATTGATTCCATGAAGGAGCATTTTGCTTCTCCATGGGAGAATGGAGAAGCATACATTTTGAAAATGTTTGAATGATTGTTATTACACATTTTTATTCTAATGATTCTACCAGGGCTTTTCATTCTGTGGAATGAATATTTGACTGCTATAATTGTACTCTCCATTTTGCTTCGTTTTACTACAAAGTTTAAAGTATGTTTTTAATAGTTATTACTTTTAATATTTGATGATTATAAGATAATTTCAATATAATATTCTGAACATCTGCAGTTTTAGTTAGACGATGAATATTTTCAAGTGAATTCTATGCAAAATTTCAGCTTTCCAACGCCTCCTTTTTAATAAATGTTTTCTCTTACATCAAAGTGCAGCGCCACATTAAATACGCACTACTACAATGACAATAGTTTAAAGTGATTTAAAGCATGTTTTATTTTCAAAATGGAAAAATGGTTTGGGGGGGGGGGGGGCAGAGCTTTGTGACGTCATATTTGAGGGGGGGGGGTCTGACTTTTTGTGACGCCGTGTGACGAGGGGGGGGGGGACAAAAATCGGCCAAAATCGCGTGACGTCATTTATGGACGGCCCCTACATGTTTAAACCAGTCCAGAGTTTGTGTTGAACCAATCCTGCTGAAATTGTGAACTCACAGAACGCCGTGTGGCTCATGGGATATGTACAAGTATTTTTTCTTGCTATGCGGAGAAGGAGGCGAATCGCTGATTTATATTTGGAATGTATATTCTCCACGACGATCATGATTAGGACTATACTCTTTGGTTCTTTCGGTAAAAGTCACGTAGGTAGAAAAAATAAATAAAATAAAACAAAAAATAATCTAGCACGACGTTTCGTGGTCGTCCCCAGGCGGGAAAAATAATCCAGCAGTGGAACTGCTGAACCAGCTGGGACGTCGTGATTTATTATATTATTTTTATATTCTTATATATTCTTGGTTCTTTCGGTAAAGTCACGTAGAAGGGAAATCATTAAATTATAAAAATAAAACAATAAAATTCTCACGACGTTTCGATTGCAACACAAACAATCATCATCAGGTGTGAGAATTTAATTGTTGTTTTATTTTCATTAATTTATTATTTCCCCTTCTACGTTACTTTACCGAAATAACCAAAGGGTATGGATTCCTGCATTCGCGAAAGCCTCAAATCAAGAACGATTAGGACTGTATCGTTCTATTCGCGTGGACGATGGCGACCAGCAGCAGCTGTTCAGGAGCTCGCTGCCAATGTCGATGTCTCCTGCAGGCCAGAGAGAGTTTGTGGTCCCGCCCCGCCCTTGAAAGAACTCAAACTGCAGGGGTTTACGATGCGGGCCGGAGTTTGGATTGCATGGCCGCAATCGCACCACCGTGTGCATGGGCCTGTTGGTTTTCTGTTGTGGTCAATGGCCCCACCGGTGTCGTAGAGGAAGAGGCATGTGAAAGGCAGGAGGTGCGGTGTCTGGGGTCTCGATTCGTATGCAATCTTGTTGGTCTGTGTCGCCCTCTCGTGGTGGCTACGTCGTCACAACTGCGTTGGCAACTGGAGCGGCCATGCACACTAAATCAGAAAATGTATTTCTACTGGAGGAATCCGATGAGCTACAAAGCCCTTTTCACAGATATCCAGTACGTACGGGTCAGAGCGGTACAACAAACAAAACACGATAGGAATGCAAAGTACAGGAAACGTAAGCAAATCACTAAAATAGCAACACTTTGTTTTATTTTACCAGGTTAAGCCCACTGAGCTATTATCTTCTATTTAGAAGCGACCTGGTAACAAATGATAGCTCAACGAAGTTGGCTCATCGTGTGGCATTATAGCAGCAAAATAATCTAAACAATGTTTAACAGTTTCCAATAACCCCACTACACCATCGCGATCTCCACGAATCCCACCGCGGTTAAATTCTGCACCGCAGGGGCGCCATGATGAAGCGGAGCTGATTTATCACCTGGATCGCACCCCCCCCCCCCACCCCGATTTGTCACCTAAATCGCAACCCCCCACCCCGAGCCATGAGAATTTGCATCGCGCTCCCCATCCAGGCCACAATGAGCAACTCGCTCTGAAAGTGACCTGCGGAAACGTTGTGCGACACCATCCCACTCCAACCGATCTCGGAGTGGAGCTGAACACTGCAATGCTGCGGTGTGTCACTGGAACCCTCCTAAAGTCGACTCCCACACCCTGGCTGCCCGTGCTGTCACCACATCTCTCTCCCATACATCGCCGCGACGCTGCAACCTTCCGGGAAGTCCTGCGAATCGAGGACAACGGTCGCCTTCCCATTCGTCAGGACCTCAATAACATCCAGGGTCACCGCTTTAAGTCACCCCCCAAGCCCTTTTTGACCCATGCGCTTCACCTTCAACAATGCGAATCCAATCCCATGAAGCCTGGAGTGAAATGGAGTTCAAAGGAACTCACAAACACCTTGTTGTGAAAAACCCAATGCAAGAAGATCCCCTGGGGGTTTGATCTTCCACGAAGCTCATGGTCCACCCTAAACCACATCCACTGCACAAACTATGGCAGTAGATGCGGATGATACCTGATGATGCACAAATGGAAAATTCAAAAATCTCCAGTAGTAGTAGCGACCTAAAACTTTCGTGACTGCAGGAATTCATATTCTTTGGTTCTTTCGGTAAAGTCACATAGATAGAAAAAATATAAGAATAAAGTTAATACAAATACCACGTTTCGATCGCAACACAAGCGGTCGTCATCAGGAAAAGGGTTAGCCTCTAAAGGCAAACTGGTTATAAAGGGCGTAGCCCAAGTGTATCAGCAGCACCAGCAATGCCAGTGCAGCAAAGGGCCACCAGGAAATCACTGCACCCCGCTCCACACACCACACTGCTGACGGTGGAGGTTGATTGACAAGAAAACACATGTCAAGTCATGACCCAAAGTGGTTGGTGACCTCTTTCCAATGATTGCCGAGTCTATAACCTTCCTCTCGGAAATTGTGTTTGTGTCTGTATATATGGATGGCTTCATGAACGAATCTTTGTTGATAGCCAGTAGGCTTGCAAAGTACCTTCGTCTTAGAGAAATAAATTTCGTGAGCCAGCCGCATTAAAAAAATGATCAGCCATGGCAGAAGTATTGGTCCTACCGTGTTTCAAATCTGCCTTATGCTCACGAACACGGTCCCGAGACATGTCGCTTAGTTTCCCCAATGTAACTGCTGCCGGAGATACAGCTTAGTTTGTAGACGCCAGGGTATTGCATGTCAGGAATCTAGTCCGTCACAAATAAAATCAGATCACGAATTTTCTGTAGTGTTAAATCAGACCTGGATCTTGTGTTTGTTCATGATTTTGGAAATATTTTTGGTTACCCCTATGTATGGCAGGGTGATGGTTTTGATTGGATCCTCTGATGGCTCCTTTTTTACAGTTGGGGTGATGGCTTTGCAGATTGTGTCGTCAGAATATCCGGATATTCTGACAATCGTACAGTACCCCGTCGCTGTGGTGTAACATGCCAGGGCCATTGCCTAAGTTGATGTGCCCGTTGATGAAATTAATTTCAGAATATTTTATTTTATGAATCGCACAATGAAGCATCATTTCAGTGTAAAGTTGCACACTTTTATTCAGATTCATTTACAAAGAGTAACTATATACATGCTTTGCTGCTGTACATTGCAAAATGTACGTGTAGCAAAATACATCTAACAATAACAGCAATTATAAGAAAAAAAATACATTTCATATATACAGATTTAAATGCCGTAGCCCAGGACCAAATTAAACCGTTGCATTATCGAGAAATCTGATTTGATCCGACACCATCCGTTAATAAGCAACCACGGTCGGTGCCGCCTCTCCCTTCACCAGAAAAGTTCCAATCAAGCTTCGCGACCGCAAGAAACCCGGGACGGGGGGGGGTGGGGGGAGTGATTAATTATCATGCACGGGAGAAGGGGTTGATAAACTATCACAGGCGGAGTACGGAACAGCCCTTCAGCTCCCAACAGGGAGCAGCTTGGCACCATCACACTTCAATAAAAATGAAACCAACTTGATATTAAACTGTAAAATTTGTTTTAAAGAAATGTGCACGGTGCAACTTGTAGTTAAACCAACAGCAACTTCGACCTTAAAGCAAATAAAGTTAATGTAATTTATTAAGCTAGCAACTACGTTAAATAGGAAACCACCCGGAATGAAAGCGAGCGGGACTCGTAATTTAATTAGGAAATAGAGCGTTGATAGGCAACTTAGAATTACATAAAGAGGTACTAGGAATTTAATTGGGAACAATTTGGAGTCACAAGACCAAGTTGGATTGGCAATGGACTCGGCCATAGACAAATCTAAAAGTGCTGAAGAATGTTAATAGGTGCAATTTGGAAATTTACTTCAAAAAACACCAAAGTTGCACTCAAAACAATTTGGGATTGAATCAAGCACAATTGAGTACCTCACTTGAGCAGCAAACCATAAAGACAAACCAGACTCACACTGGATACAACTTATAGTAGCAAATACAATCTCCACCAGGCGCTTGACTTTGCCTAATATTTACATTGCCATCCGCCATGGTGGACTGTGGCGATTACCCACAATCCATCATGACAGTGGATAATTGTGTGATCTTGCTTTACTGCATTCAGTGGGCCTCGTGGTGTTTGTGCAGGGCAACCCAATGGGATGTTTTTCCGATTTTGCTTTGGTTTTCCCCACGACTGACCTTTATCATTCCATGGTTTGTACAGTGCCTTGAGATGCCGCTGCATTTCAGGCACTCAATGTAATTCCAAAACCTAATTTGTTTGATAGGCCACACTGGTGACAGAATTTAGGCAAACCTGTTGGCCTTGGTCTCACGGCCCCTGGCCTCATATATGGGGGAAATGCATAAAGTTTCCAGCACAGGATTACTTGGCCATTTGTACACAACACTCCATAATCCAGCTAAAGGCGCCAGGAAACAAAGGCACACAATGCTTATCTATATTTGCACCTACAAGGGTTTATGTTTGTGGGCTCATTTTCAGGCTTCGAAACTGCAATTTGCATTTTGTTGGTTGTTTTTTGTAGGCAGGATGGTGGTAAGCAGCCTTAAGAGTAGGTGATCATGGTCACATTAACAGGGCATTTGGATTTGGTCAATTAGATTAAAATTATCACTCAAATTACCATGCTGCTTCCTCTTGTATAAGAAGCCTTTACACGTTCTGCTTTGCCACTGCACTCGGGGGGAAACATTTTGCTTGTGGCTGCAAATGTAGGTGGCGTGCCTCCGAATGTTAAAAGCATCAAGTTAATAGGGCTACAGTCATATTTTGATAGTGAAGGTCGGTGAATTCAATATTCATACCACTACACAAATGCATGGTACAGGATTCAATGCCAAAAAGTTAAAAGTGTTCCACACCACGGCCCTTTTCTTTTGTAAGACCACACGCCGTGATCTTTCGCCACTCGCGTTGACGCAGTTCGGTGCACGGTCTGCGCGCGCTCCCTTTTGTTGAGCTGCAAAGGGCCAAGCCGAGCCCTCCTTGCCCACAGGAATTGGGAAACCTGCCCAGGAGGAAGGGGCGGGGGTGTGGCGCCCAGGAGGAAGGTTGGGAGGAGACCTGGGACGGTGTGGAGGGGAGCAGGGGGTGGGGCCTCAGTTGGCCCAGGCAGCCAAATCCCTCATGTCATCATCATCTTCCTCTTCCCTTTTCTTGGTGGCTGCTTGTAAATGCAAACAGAAAAAACAAACACACATAAGGTGGCTGGATCAGAATCAGAATATGATTTATAGTGCAGGAGGAATCCAATGAGCTATAAAGCTCTTTTTCACAGATGTCCAGTAGGGGCGGCTCAAAACGTTACAAAAACAAACAATACAAAAACACGAATCGGAGTGAAAGGTATAGGAAAGGTAAACAAATCACTTCTAAATATATATGTATATAAAACTTAACGATTTTTTTTTCTTACCAGGTAAAGCCTACGTACTGATTTATTAACTTATTTTCAGAAGTGACCTGGCCAAAAATTATGGCTGCTCAAGCGAGCTTACAAAAATCCTTGAGTACCCCATCAGACTTTGTTTAAACTAAGGCAACAATTGTTTCATTTTGCAGAACCAGCCTCACTGAGCGCCACTTGTTAACGAGGGCCTTGCTTGGAAAACCCCGTTTTTGAATCGTTCCTCCCGGATCAGGGGGGACACCGGAGTGCCCAGAGAAAAACCCATACGAATGGAGAGACTCCTCAAACTCCACACAGATGGCAAACCAACTTGCTCTGGTGCTTACAAAGGCACCTTGTTTTCCTGTAGCAATGAACAAATAATCACATTTCCAAAAAACTCGGAATTGGACTACGTTTCCAAATAAAATTGTGTAGGTGTCACGATATCGCACGTGGCATCGTAAAATAGTGGACACTTGCTATTATACAGGAAAAACCTTGGAATGGTATAGCACACCATGTGACAATATGATACTGATAGTATCACGATATCTCGAATTGTGTGGCATTACAAGTGTGGGTGGTGGCAGTCGGCGCTATCCACGATCAGCGTGTTTGTTTGGAACAAGTCTGAATGCATGCGAGTGTAACAGCATGATTGAGCGAGTGTAGGGGCATTCACGCTTGTGTGTGACAGCATACAAGTGTGAGTTTGTGAGTATGTGAGTGGAATAAGAAATGCATTAGTGAGCACGTGTGACAGAGCATGTGAAAGTGAATGTGCATGAACATGCGAGAGTGAGCATGTGAGCGAGAGCATGTGTGTGTGTGAGAACGTATGTACGTGTGAAAGCATATGTATGTGTGAGTGTATGTACGTGTGACAGCGTATGTGTGCGCAAGTGAACGGGTGTGCATGTGAGCAATACCAGGCTCTGACAAACACATACATAATGAGGTGGAGAGTGACAGCAGTGTTTAGCGCACTACGCTACGAACCTGGTGATCCGAGCTCGATTCCCGCTTACTGCTAACAACAGCGATGAATGTCTGCACCAGTCCTAGGCCTCCTTCAGCTCAACTCAACTTTAAATGGGTGTCTGGTGCAGTACCTATGTATGTAAGTTAAACTTCTCTCGCCACGTACGTAGCCAAGCGTGCTAATCGGAGGTGCAGTGTGTAAACGGAAGTGAGACAACGGTGACCAGTCATGGTGCTAGCCACACCACCCTCTCTCGTGTGTGCTCGATAACACAGCACTGGCCCCAACAGTCTGTATGGTTACCAGGCCGGGATGGCAGTGAGGCGGTGGGCACACTGGGGAGCTGGCTGCCGCCCACTTCCAGAAGCTCCTTGTCCAGCTCCTCCTGCTCCAGTTCCTCCAGCTCAGCCATGAGCTCGTCCTGCACCGCATCACAGATACACAAACACACAGAGACAGAGATGGTGTTACACACAGACACGCACAGAACGAGAGTGTTACACAGTCACACAATCACAAAACGTGGTGGTGTATACACACAGACACACAGAATGAGACTATGTTACACACAGTCACAGAACGAAGTGGTGTTACACAGACACGTATGTATGTAGAACTTCTTTCGCAATTCACGTAGCCAACCGTGCTAATCGGAGGTGGGGCAAGGACAACAAACTAAACACAAATACGACACAAGTCACACACAGAATGAGACGGTGTTACACACAGTCACACGCACACACAGAACGAGGTGGTGTTACACGTACACACACAGAGCACGAGACGATGCCACACGCATACAGAACGAGACGATGTCACACAGTCACACACACAGCACGAGACGATGGCACACAAGTCACAGTTACACACAGCATGGGAGGAGGGGCACTCGTCACCTCGTCCATGTCGTCCCCAAAGCCGACGGGCTTGGAGATGGCGTCTGAGATCTCCTGCGCCAACTCCTGCTGTTCGTGGATGTCGCCCATGAGCTCGTCCACCTTGTCTATATCCCTGGACACCAAGGACACGCGCGGAGATGCGGCAAGGTTATACGAGCACGTGAGTATTGACCAAATAAAAAGCGGACACTCCCCTCTGTCTCTCAGCAGATACTTTCCCCTCTGTAACTCTAGGAGAGTGTGTGCTGAGAACAGAGTGTGGCAAGTGTCCGTGCGATGTATGTATAACAAGTAGGAGAGAGTGGTGAGTGTGAGCGCTGTGTATCACAAGTAGGAGAGAGTGGTGAGTGTGAGCGCTGTGTGTCACAAGTACGAGAGAGTGGTGAGTGTGAGCACTGTGTATCACAAGTAGGAGAGAGTGGTGAGTGTGAGCTTTGTGCATCACAAGTAAGAGAGAGTGGTGAGTGTGAGCGCTGTGTATCACAAGTAGGAGAGAGTGGCGAGTGTGACCGCTGTGTATCACAAGTAGGAGAGAGTGGCGAGTGTGAGCGCTGTGTGTCACAAGTACGAGAGAGTGGTGAGTGTGAGCGCTGTGTGTCACAAGTAGGAGAGAGTGGTGAGTGTGAGCGCTGTGTGTCACAAGTACGAGAGAGTGGTGAGTGTGAGCGCTGTGTATGACAAGTAGGAGAGAGTGGCGAGTGTGAGCGCTGTGTGTTACAAGTACGAGAGAGTGGTGAGTGTGCGCGCTGTGTATCACAAGTACGAGAGAGTGGTGAGTGTGAGCGCTGTGTATCACAAGTACGAGAGAGTGGTGAGTGTGAGCGCTGTGTATCACAAGTAGGAGAGAGTGGCGAGTGTGAGCGCTGTGTGTCACAAGTAGGAGAGAGTGGTGAGTGTGAGCGCTGTGTGTCACAAGTAGGAGAGAGTGGTGAGTGTGAGCGCTGTGTGTCACAAGTACGAGAGAGTGGTGAGTGTGAGCGCTGTGTATCACAAGTACGAGAGAGTGGTGTGAGCGCTGTGTGTCACAAGTAGGAGAGAGTGGTGAGTGTGAGCGCTGTGTGTCACAAGTACGAGAGAGTGGTGAGTGTGAGCGCTGTGTGTCACAAGTAGGAGAGAGTGGTGAGTGTGAGCGCTGTGTGTCACAAGTACGAGAGTGTAGTGAGTGTGAGCGCTGTGTGTCACAAGTAGGAGAGTGGTGAGTGTGAGCGCTGTGTGTCACAAGTACGAGAGTGTAGTGAGTGTGAGCGCTGTGTGTCACAAGTACGAGAGAGTGGTGAGTGTGAGCGCTGTGTGTCACAAGTAGGAGAGAGTGGTGAGTGTGAGCGCTGTGTGTCACAAGTACGAGAGAGTGGTGAGTGTGAGCGCTGTGTGTCACAAGTAGGAGAGTGTGGTGAGTGTGAGCGCTGTGTGTCACAAGTACGAGAGAGTGGTGAGTGTGAGCGCTGTGTGTCACAAGTACGAGAGAGTGGTGAGTGCGAGCGCTGTGTATCACAAGTACGAGAGAGTGGTGAGTGTGAGTGCTGTGTGTCACAAGTAGGAGAGTGTGGTGAGTGTGAGCGCTGTGTATCACAAGTACGAGAGAGTGGTGAGTGTGAGCGCTGTGTATCACAAGTACGAGAGAGTGGTGAGTGTGAGCACTGTGTGTCACAAGTACGAGAGAGTGGTGAGTGTGAGCGCTGTGTGTCACAAGTACGAGAGAGTGGTGAGTGTGAGCGCTGTGTGTCACAAGTACGAGAGAGTGGTGAGTGTGAGCGCTGTGTGTCACAAGTACGAGAGAGTGGTGTGAGCGCTGTGTGTCACAAGTACGAGAGAGTGGTGCGAGCGCTGTGTGTCACAAGTACGAGAGAGTGGTGAGTGTGAGTGCTGTATATCACAAGTACGAGAGAGTGGTGAGTGTGAGCACTGTGTGTCGCAAGTACGAGAGAGTGGTGTGAGCGCTGTGTGTCACAAGTACGAGAGAGTGGTGTGAGCGCTGTGTGTCACAAGTACGAGAAAGTGGTGAGGACTGTATATCACAAGTACGAGAGAGTGGTGAGTGTGAGCACTGTGTGTCGCAAGTACGAGAGAGTGGTGCGAGCGCTGTGTTGCACCATCTCACATGTTCTGGTGCGCATTCTTCATGGCCTTGGCAGCGAAGCCCATAGTCTTGAGCACCTCGGTGTTGGTGTTGGCGTTCTCGAGTGCCTCGCGCTGGAACTCGATGGTGGACAGAGTCCCGTCGATCTGTGCCAGCTGCTTCTCATAGCGCTTCTTACGCTTGAGTGCAGCGAGAGCCACTGCAGATGGACACCACATGCACACAGTCACATTTATAGATTCGTGCACACGCACCACCACGTTCGTCTCCTCGTTAGCCTCGTAGGCCGTAAGTGAGAAGTCGTTCAGATTTCAGACACCATCGACCACTGTTGTTGCATAACGTGGCCAAGGAATCAAACCCGCGCTGCTGCCTTTGTAGCTCTGCAACGACACTATTGCACACGCACACTCGAAAACAAAGAACCCACAAGTCCCACCAGCACTGATATTTCCAACCACACAATTGCACTAATTACATATTTTAACCCGAGTTGACCTAGGGGGATCAGGGCAGGCACTCGTACAACTTGCCCCCGATAACATGAATCATTGGCTAACAACAATACACGACTCCACGGGTATTTGCAGTGCCAGTTTCGTGACGCGCAAGCATTTTAAAAGAGCATCATGCGCATATTAATCCTCGAGGCAGTCGCGCAGCCGCATATCACGATGAACATCCTGTGCTTACTGTCAAAGAGCGAAAATAAAGCAGGGGTAGGTTTTTTTCTCTCACCTAATCGCCATGGCAGAACGCCTCCCTCTAACGCGCGACTGACAATCACGGCGGCATAATGCACGGAAACGCCGACCTGCAGAAGGTCGGGGTTTTTAAAGAGCGTCCCACAGTGTCAATCGTTGCCTCTTAATTCACAGGAGGCGTTTCAAGTGCCCACCCTGCTACCAACGCCCTGAGCTGCATTCCTCAACCCACAGCGACGTCCACGTATAAAGACTCGGGGGGGCCAAATGCTATTTTTGTCAACCAACTACTGGATGAAGGCACCCCACGCCATGTGGGTCACGAGGGTTATAAATACATCACCACACTTGTCAGGGCGGGGGTTGGTTAAGGTGGGGAGTATAGACTGAGCATAGTACGGGACAATTAACTTTGCTGAAATGCCCTCTGCTGGCACATGGTACATATATAGACTAATATTATGTCCAAGGGTCTCCCTGCTCAAAGCTACACACCCACTTCCTAAGGCTCGGTGTCAAAAGCTACAATTATCTAGCTCAAACAAATGTGGTGGCGGTGTGGCGATGTCTGTTGGCAGCCCGACGGCAATGGTGAAAATTCCACGTTCTATGGTGGTGGGCAGTCTCTCCACGGAGGCAAGAACTGTTCATTTCCCACAAAGAGAGACAAACGTATTGTACCTGGAAGGATGATGGGTTTAGTAGACCCATACTGAGCATTTTAACTCGAAACCTTACGATTCAGATCCAAGGACTATGAAACGGCACCACCCTATACAGAATACAGACAAACGGAGTGCATCTAAAACAAATAAAAAAGACTCGGTGATGTAAATTGTTTTAAAAGACCTACTGAGATGACATTTTCACAAATATAGCTGTATATGAGCTTATAATTAGAAATATCCCAATACTTTTTTTTATTGACTTTTGAGCCACCAAACAAAACAGCCCAGAGGTTGGCCAGTTTTACTCATCGGGCAGTCAGCATAAAACTGTAAAGTGCTTTAAGGCTAAACATTCACATACCTACGATCATCATCAGTGAAACAAGTAATTCATATATATTTTATTACTTTATTGTTTCCCTTCAACGTGACTTTACCGAAAGAGCTAAGAATATAATTCAACTCCTGTGGAGTGTGATGCTAAAACTGATGTAAAGTAGATAGTGCACATTACACGTCTCTAGTACACAGAGATCCTCCATTCAGTCTCCACTGTTTGGAACAAGTGCTTTAATGGGGCACCCATTGAGTCCAGCATAGCGTAAAAACGGTCGCGTGATCACTACCACAGAGGGCCCACACCAGATTGCACAATGTTGACTATTTTACACTGTGCTCTTTTTACAGCAGAGGTGAGACCCATATAGTAGCTGCAAACACCCATTTGTGACCAAAGCTGTGCATGCTGCTCACTCATGGAGCCTGTTCTCTGCCGTTGATCAAGTACAGCTTGTCAACTCACTGGTGAATGAGGGTTCCCCCCCTATGCCATGCAGGCATGCGGGTTGTAACCATACTCGGTGCAGACTTGTGAAGGTGGGGAGCATAGACAAAGGAGCATAGAAGTACAGTACAATAATGGATGTTTCTGCATTGCCAATGTGAGGCTCTGCCAGTTGTTCTGGAAGGTTGTTTTATTAATGGCATGAAGGACAGCATAACTAGGATATAAATGGTATTGGTATAACATTTTTAGAAAAAACAACAGACACCTAGAGATTTACCATTCATCCCTTGTCAAATGGATGACACCACTGAACGATCTGCTGGGTACAGGAACCTGCATTTAATTTGTAATGGTCCACACCTTCACCTCAGTCGATGTCATTACAATCTGGACAAACCAGGCTTGGATGGAGCAATGGCCACATGATATCATACACGCTCACGTCATGTTAATGTACACACCTTCCCACTGTCCACCTGTAGCTTCAGACACAAAACGGTGTTTTGTCAATTCTTAAGACTCACTTTACATTTCCCGCAGATCAGCCATTCCTGTTCCATCAAGATGCAGCTAAAGCAATGCAACAAATAAACACGCTCACTCTTTCTTTTGCAGAGTGCTCATGATCTCAAGGCTAAGAGTCAAAATCCTGGCCAGGACTGACCCCTTCAGCCGATAATTATCATCTCTCTCTGGGGTTAAATAACACCGGATGAAATTGCTCCCATTCATGGTTTTTCTACAGTGGTCATCCTATGAACAGACTTCTCATTGTAAGAGAACACATTAAGGCTATTCCACTGACTCACGGCTCTTTATAGGTATATAAGCAGTAACCAACGCTTGAACATAATTTGGATTGGGTCAATGTGCCCCAGGTTTCAGTATCAGCCTAATAGATCTGACCTTACCTCAGAGAATGTGACTAATCTTGCGACTAAGGCTTAAATTCCTTTGTCCTATGTCCAATGGAAGGTATTTGGCTCCAACTCCCTCCAACGCGTCCAATCTTGAGCCTCCTAAATTTCACTCTACGGGCCCAAAATTATTACAATTTAAGGTTGACCCACACTTAAATAAGTACCCGGCGTGACCAGTAAACATCGGCACTGGGGAAACAAAGGCAGCTGGTTGTGGCGCTGCCCACACAACTCCTTCGTATATCACGTCAGTTCACTGCCAACACTTACCCCCATAAGCTATACAATGTCATAGGGAGTTTTCAGTTTGTTTGTGATCAAGTTTTTTAAATGCCACGAGCAATGTGGTGATGTCACCACCACCGAGTGCAAACGGTGGTTAATGTTGTTTTCGAGAATGTGCACAAGGCACTGACATCTCAGCGAGTAGAACGAAGAGCCACTTTGTGACTTAAAACCAAAGACCAAGAGACCTGTGGCGAGTTGCATAATGCATCGCTTCGGGTGTTTTCATCACTGATTAAACACGGATTGCGCCATTGATATGCCACACGGGCCATGGAGGTGGCAAGTGTGCCGTGATGTCACGTGAATACACACCTCCTGCGTAACTTACCTCGCATTACAATTGAGTTGAATCTGTACGGAAACATCACTTCATGTAGCCCCCCTTAAACCACGTGTACAAATCCACAAGTGGCCAACAAGCCACATATTTATAGCTGGGTTCAATCATATTGTGTATGACCAGGCGAGCATACAAAGAGACAGCAGCAGTCTCTTTCCCAAATATAGAGTCCGAGATGAAAATCCAGCTGGAACATCACAGTTCAATATCCACTCACCGGTCCAGCTGGGAGGCACTGTGGTTCACACACTTCCCAATCCAGCCGGAAGGCACTGTGGTTCACACACTTACCAATCCAGCCGGGAGGCACTGTGGTTCACACACTTACCAATCCAGCCGGGAGGCACTGTGGTTCACACACTCACCAATCCAGCCGGGAGGCACTGTGGTTCACACACTCACCAATCCAGTCGGGAGGCACTGTGGTTCACACACTCACCGGTCCAGCCGGGAGGCACTGTGGTTCATACACTCACCAATCCAGCCGGGAGGCACTGTGGTTCACACACTCACCAATCCAGCCGGGAGGCACTGTGGTTCACACACTCACTGGTCCAGCCGGGAGGCACTGTGGTTCACACACTCACCAATCCAGCCGGGAGGCACTGTGGTTCACACACTCACCAATCCAGCCAGAAGGCACTGTGGTTCACACACTCACTGGTGCAGCCTAGAGGCACTGTGGTTAGAGGAGTCATCTCAACTGGAAGGTTGGAAAAGTGCATTCCTACTCGGAGGTCAACTCATCCCGTCATCCCACTAGGGTTTATGCAATGAGCACCACTGTTTTGGGAATTGAGGGAAGGGATGTCACCGCCAGGCGCTGACATTAGCGGGCCACCCCAAAACCAAAGCTCGAAGCCTTGGGGACAGCAACCCCGGCCTTGCGTCTCTCTCTCTCTCTACACTGGCACAGGTGTTGTAGTAACTTCAGTCACGTTATTGTTTTCACGATGCGATAGAACAATTTCACAACAAAACGAGTATCTTGAAACCAGTTTCCTTTAACTCTACATTGTGTTGTGCTTTGGTCGGCCTAACAGTAAGGCTAAAACCTAAAAGTTCTGCAACTGCAGATCACTCAACATAAGCCTGCCCCACGCGTCTTATACTAAATGTAACTTTACAAATCTGTAACGCTTACAAAGCCCACATGCCGCAAGTTACTAATAATTAATTAAATGGAACGTCAGTATGGAAATTATGACGTCTTGATAACCATCGTGCAGTCAATGTAGAGCACTCCGAAAAACTTTTACGTAGCGTGATTTTAATGGGTAATAGCGCGATTTATTTTATACCCGCATTAGTCTTACTTCGTAATTATTTAGTGGGGAAATTAATGAGTAACGGTAATCGAGATGTGAAAAAAGATGCAATACGATTATCGTGGATTATCTACCAGACGATACATCGCAGTATCGCCATATCGTGGCCACCCCAGTGGTAGGTGTTGTTGTTGTTTAAATGTCTTCCCGTGTCGACTGCGGCGACTTCCGGGGTTTCGGCGACAGCGGCCAAGCTCGTTGGGTCCACCTCCTCCAGCCCACCCAGTCCACCTCCTCCAGCCCCCCCCCCCCTAGTCCACCTCCTCCAGCCCCCCCCCGGTCCACCTCCTCCAGCCCACCCCGGTCCACCTCCTCCAGCCCACCCCGGTCCACCTCCTCCAGCCCACCCCGGTCCACCTCCTCCAGCCCACCCCGGTCCACCTCCTCCAGCCCACCCCGGTCCACCTCCTCCAGCCCACCCCGGTCCACCTCCTCCAGCCCACCCCGGTCCACCTCCTCCAGCCCCCCCCCTAGTCCACCTCCTCCAGCCCACCCCCTAGTCCACCTCCTCCAGCCCACCCCGGTCCACCTCCTCCAGCCCACCCCCTAGTCCACCTCCTCCAGCCCACCCCGGTCCACCTCCTCCAGCCCACCCCCTAGTCCACCTCCTCCAGCCCACCCCGGTCCACCTCCTCCAGCCCACCCCCTAGTCCACCTCCTCCAGCCCACCCCGGTCCACCTCCTCCAGCCTACCCCGGTCCACCTCCTCCAGCCCACCCCGGTCCACCTCCTCCTCTCTCGCTGCGCCCACGCGATTCGACCCCGTGGCTCCCTCTTGACACCCACTCGCGCCGTAACAGTTAATATTCTCAACTTGTTGTTTCTCAAAACCCACGGCGTCTCGACCCCATCTCTAGCGATACCCCTCCCCCTGTATTACATGTACCTCTCTCTGTGTCACGTCCCTTGCCCTCCCGTCTCTCCATTTGCCGTCGAGGCTTCATGTCTCCACGTACCACAGTGTCTAGCCAGGGGGTAAGCGAACCGCCCCATCGGTCTCAACTGAAAACGCCAGCCATCAGTTGTCCAATCCCCCGCACCTGCGATGAAGCAGGGTTGGCTACGTACGGTGCGAAAGAAGTTCCAACATACATACGGCACCGCCCACGTGCGTCGCCGACCAACTCTCGTGAACGCGCGTCGCCTCCCGCGTACCCCCCTCTGTATTGTCATTCTAACCCCTTTCTTTATTCAGCGAATGCTTTTACACAGAGCACCAGATCCACAAAGGAAAATAAACAACTAAGTTATTGTAGACGTACGTCAACGTTACATGCGAGTGAACGTCAGCCCACGCAGCTACAGTCATGTGACAGCCTCCTCCTCCGGCACGTCCGTCTGCAATGTATACAAACCACTAAGTGACCAACTCTAACCATGCACCAGTGTATCTCTCTGTCCATATATTCCCATGTATCTGTGTCCATGTTGATCGCATGTGCTGTCTCCACCTGTAGCCATGTCCCAATGTGTTATATAGTGCCGTCTCTCCTCCCCATGCCTCGGCGTATATTCATATGGCAGTGCTCCGGGTACCCAATAAACTAAATGTCCGAGGCAATTAAATATTTTACTTCTGGGACACTTTTTTTTCCTGGGGTGAACTTCACTCCGCGACTGGGGGGGGGGGGGGGGGTGCCAATCAATCCCAAACCAGTGCCACACTCCGCGCTGTCGACACGCAGCGAGGGCGATTGCGCCGAAACCCTGAACGCTCGCACGCACCGTGGTGGTGCATCATCGCGTACAGCTCGTCGAGATGAGTCGGTTGCCACACCGCCAACCATCAACAGAGTAAAGATGACTGCATCACGGAGACATTATGCGAGAGCCGGGGTAAGGGTCATTCTCCTCCGTCTTCATGTCCTCAGGTCCCCGTGTCTCAATGTCTCCCCCTGTACCCATGTGCCCAAACGTCTCGCCACTTTCTCGCGTCTCCCCATTTCCCTGTTGTCTCTTCTCATCCCCTTTCGTATATCCCCGTCCACCTATCTCCACGTCGCCGTCTATCACCCGCCCTCTCCATTGCTCTTCCCCCTGTCTCTCGTCCCAGCCTCGCTCTCTCACCCACAATCTCCCCTGTCCCCGTGTCTCACCCACAATCTCCCCTGTCCCCGTGTCTCACCCACAATCTCCCGTCCCCGTGTCTCACCCACAATCTCCCCTGTCCCCGTGTCTCACCCACAATCTCCCCTGTCCCCGTGTCTCACCCACAATCTCCCCTGTCCCCGTGTCTCACCCACAATCTCCCCTGTCCCCGTGTCTCACCCCCTGTCTTCCGGTGTCACCATGTCCCCGTTTCTCGCCCCCATCTCTCTCCCCCTTGTCCCCGCGTCTCCCCCGCGTACTCACCGCGTTTGTTCTTGGTGCCGTTCTTGCGCGCCGTGGCGATCTCGGTCTCGATCTTCTTCTCGAGGAACTCCTGCTTCTTGGCGAGCATCTCCTCCGTCTCGCGCAGCTTCTGCAGCGCTTCCTGAGGCGTCACGGACGTCTTGTTCTTGTTGCCGCCGCCGCCACCGCCGAAGAACTTCAACATGATGGCCGCGTGTGTCGTCAACGACGCTCGCGAAGAGGAGGTGAGACGGAGGGGAGACGGAGGTGAGACGGAGGGGAGACGGAGGTGAGACGGACGGGAGACGACAAAACGACGACGACACGCGGGGGCCGCCGAGAGTCGCCGAAGAGACGCGAAATGGCGACGCGCTCCAAATACCCACAACGCATCGGGAGCCGCCTTGAGCAAGAGTCGCTCCCATTGGCTGGCGGGGCCCAACAGCGGCGCGTGATTGGGTGACGCGGCGCACCGCGGAGCCAATCGCAGATGTCGACGCGGCGGCGCTAGCCCATGCGGGCTGCGGTATTAGAAGCAGGTGGGGGGGAACACAACGGGCGATGACGTCACCGGTGAACCACTCCCTGTGACGTCACGCAAGGTTCCGTGACGTCAACGCTCCGACACGTACCGTGACTCACGGTCACGTGATCGAACCCCGCCCGTCGCGTAACGTCACTCGCAAGATGGCCGAGTTAGACGTGGGACATCACTGCGCGGTTGAACACTGCGGGCAGCTCGGTAGGGCTCGGCATACTCGGACTCCTTTACCCGTGTTGTTGCGATCGACTCCGTTACTGAACAAACATTTGTGTAACGGCGCGGAAACGGCTTCGTTGTTTCATGTCCAATAATTTGTCACCCGGCGGCCATGTTGGTAAGGGGTACCACGTGTCATGGTGACATCGCCGCGTCCCTATGTAAGATGGCGGTCATGCTGCCTCGCCAAGTCTCGGCCAGTGACGTGTCACCAAGTTGGGGATGTGTACTGTATCTTTATCCTGGAGGAATCCGATGAGCTATGAAGCTCTTTTCTACAGATGTCCAGTAGGGGTGGGTCAGCAAGTTACAACAATTAGTTTTACAAAGCGAAATGAGTGCAAGAATAGGGGAGAGATAAGCAACTCACTAAAAAAATATATAATTTACAAATTAAATCTTGATTTGTTGTTTCTCTTTGTGTGTATCTGGGTGTGTCTCTCTCTGTTTCTCTGTGTGTTTATCTCTCTTGTGTTTGTCTCTGTGTGTCTCTCTCTGTGTATGTGTTTGTCTCTCTCTGTGTGTTTGTCTCTCTGTGTCGCTGTGTATGTCTGTCTCTCTGTGTTTGTCTCTATCTGTCTCTCTGTGTGTATGTGTTTGTCTCTCTGTCTATGTCTCTCTCTGTCTCTCTCTGTCTCTCTGTGTGTATGTGTTTGTCTCTCTGTCTATGTCTCTCTGTGTTTGTCTCTCTCTGTCTCTCTGTGTGTATGTGTTTGTCTCTCTGTCTATGTCTGTCTCTCTGTGTGTATGTGTGTGTCTCTCTGTCTATGTCTCTCTCTGTCTCTCTCTCTGTCTCTCTGTGTGTATGTGTTTGTCTCTCTGTGTCTCTGTGTATGTCTCTCTCACTCTCTGTGTATGTCTCTGTCTCTCTGTGTATGTGTTTGTCTCTCTCTGTGTATGTCTCTGTCTCTCTGTGTATGTGTTTGTCTCTCTCTGTGTGTCTGTCTCTCTCTCCGTGTCTGTCTCTCTCCGTGTCTGTGTTTGTCTCTCTCTGTGTATGTCTCTCTCCAAGCTTTCATTTACATACAGTTCTCACCCTGATGACGGCTGCTTGTGTTGCAATCGAAACGTCGTGATCTATTTATTTTATTTTTACGTGACTTTACCGAAAGAACCCAAGAGTATTTTCCAAATTGCATCGGTTCAGTACATAAATTGCATCCGATTTGCCCTAACACCAAATGCTCTTTTGGGGCAGGCTGGGAGCCGCGGTGGCTTTATGGGATTTGGTGAACTTCCTGGCCTGGCACGCAGCATCAGGGGCCCCGTGGGTTCAACCTTGACGCTGATGATGCTGATGATGCTGTCTATTTACGAGTTTGTGTGTCTCTCTCCATGGTTGCGTGGATTTTTCCCTCCGGGTCCTCCGGTTTTCCCCCTCCACATTTAGAATCAGCATCACGCGTTTAGAGGATTTGGCTGCGATCAATGTCCACGTGATGAGCCCACTTCGTTAAGCTATCATTCGTGGCCAGGTAGCTTCTTAGAAAGAGCTATTACAGCTCAGTGAACCTTACCTGGTATAATAACAATAGCTTTAGTTTAGTTTGCCCATTCGCACCTGAAACACGTGCCCGGGTGAAAATAACGCTATGGGAATATAGGCAGCGTTGCGGCATCTGGGGTGCTAATGTAAATGTTTAACACGGATATCGAGCATCGCTGTTGCAGAGGCGGTCCCGGGCCGTGTGGAGCCCTGACAAGTCTCCGCCGTTTGTGTAACTTGATTGTGCTACGGGTCACTTTCGTGGTAAACATTGTTGATGGTTTCATCTGCTCGAGTCAAGCCGCGCCACAAGGGGTTGCATTATATAACGTGAATGTTTGTGCAATATCCATGGATCTATCGTGGGACAGTACTTTTGAAACCGATTGCCTCTCTGCGTTATCCCTCCATGTGTCCGGGTCCCACACCTGCCAACCTCTTATCAGTGCTGCCGACCTTATTCCAGAATAATTCAGACCGTATTGATCACCCCTTGCCCCTTATAAATCTCACGTTCATCCTGCAAAGTCCCATCACAAGGGAGAAACACAAACACATAGACAGTTTTTGGGCCCATATTGAAACGGCTGTACGCCGTATGGATCTGAAAACTCGATTTCCCTGGACAAGGATGCGTGGTAAACCGTCTGGCTCGACAGGGATGGGGTTGAGCCTCCGACACACCTCGGTGGTGGTCCTGGCAGCCACGGTGCCCTGAATCCGTTGCATTCCTGTCACAGATACTGAAGAGAACGTTGACAACATTACTTTCCCTAATTACCTGACGAATGTTTATAACCGCTTATGACTGTCATTTGCATAGAGATAGATTTTGTTTTCAGAAATGTCTTGTCTTTTTTTTTACAATATACTCTTTCCCAAACCCTATTGGTTTCACTGTTATGCCAATCATACAATTGCTGTAATTTTCTGAGTTGTCTCAATGATATCTAAAAACAAATGATAATTCATCGGCGCTGTTGTGGAGAATCCAAATAACTCAATGAGCAGGCCATGTCTCCTTCATCGATCAGTCTTCTCTAAGATAATACTTGATCACTTTTCTCCCGCTTTATATTTTCAGGTCAAGCATGTATTGCGCGATTTTTAGTTTTTCAAGTGTTGATTAATTTATCCCCACTGGACTGAAGAAGAAAAAGCATTTTAATCTGTAAACTTGTACCAAGGCTCTGCAATAACAAATTCGAGAATTTTTCCCCGCCACGCATGTACCCGTTGTATTGCCTCTGCATTGAAACGCCAGTGACAGTCTGTGTTTGATGTGCTGTTGGTTTCACTACATAAACACGATGCTTCTGAAAAAGAGCTATACAGCTTAGTAGGCCTTACCTGGTAAAATAAGAAATAATGTTTAATCACTTAGTTTAACATGTCAGTGCGTTACAGACTATCCTCTGATAATTGTTTTTTTTACCCTTTTATCTGGCAACAAAACTGACACCTTTTTTACAAGGAGTCATGTTTGCATTGACCACAATACCTGCGGTCGGAATGCAAACAAAAACATAACTCTGATAATGTATGCACTGTCCTTGAAATTGATTGGTCCACACCCGAGACAGCTTTCCTTAGAGCCTCGTCTCACGTGGTGTTGGACCAGATGACGCCAAAAGGCGCACTAAAAAATGTGTCAGTTAGTTGCCAGATAAAATGGTAAAAAAACAATTATCATATTTTGCTACTGGCAATGGAGGTTCCAATGGTGAGACGATTCTCTATTACATCTTGATATCTATATTCATGTGAACCAGTGTGCTGCTATGAAGTACTGTATGCTGTTATGATGCTTAATTGTGAAGTTTAGGTTGCAGCAATCGAGATCCTTTTACTGTTTTGTATTATGATGTTTAATTATGTGTTTTTTATCTGTTGCACTTCAGAGCCTGTTGTTACAATGCATTTCTTTGCCACGTCTCCCGAGAAAATGACTCCAGGACTCAACGGGCTTTTATCTGGTCTTAAAGAAAGCAATTGCATTGAAAGTAAAATTCACTCTTCCGAGAATTTATGTTGCAGACTTCCTCCCGTTCGTCTGCAATGGCTGTGGCAAGGTGTTTTGGTGAGTCTCATTGGTGAGAATATATAGTTTCTTGCACGGTGCTAGCTGCGGATCCTTGCCGCTCACCTTTGTCACATTTGTGACCCCCGTGTTTCCACAGTTTGGAACACAGAGGCAAGGATGACCACGCATGCACAGAGGTAAGGACTCGGCAGCAGAGTTTTCCTTACCTACTACACAGAACGCTCACCAATACACACAAACACTCTACAACGCATTCACAAACACTCTACACCCGCCACCCCATTGGCTCACATTTCCACAACATTCCTGCTGGGACAATCGCACACCGCAACCGCATTTCCACTCGCACATCGGAGCCATGCCGATGCCGTGCCAAGCTGGGGTGTCGCAGGTCAGGAGGTCCAGGTTGTTCACTTTGGAACCCAAAGCCGTGACGCCACACAATGTACACGTCATTCTCCCCGCTCCTATCCCCTGCCGGCCTCTGAGGCAGTTTGAGATCTCTCGTGAGGCCACCATGGTGCGGTTTAGTTCAGGCTCAGTACGGCAAAATAACTTGCGGACATGCCACCGGTATACCCCAAGGGCATCTCGCTAACTCGGCTCGGTTGTCCCAATGGAGAAGGGGTATGTGACACAAAGAGGGCTGGGCACCTGGGCTCAGAACCGAGCAAACACCGAAACCACTCGTGACCTCTACTGGCTCAACGCGGAAGTGAAAGTGATATTTTACCAGCTAAGGCCAACTGAGCTATTTAACTCTTTTTTTAGAAGCGACCTGTCCACAAATGATAGGTCAACGAAGTGGCTTTTAAAGCAACGCACGTTGTTTCTAAATGTGGAGGGAAAAACCAAAGGACCCGGAAAAAATTTCACCTGACCACGGGGAGAGAGACGCGCAAACTCCAAATATACAGGCGTCAGGGTTGGGATCGAATGCACGACCTGTATACCAAGGGAGGTAGTTAATATCTCGCCACTGTGGCGATAGTGTTAAAAAAACACACGGCCATTATGAGCCCCCAAGCCACTTGGTCACCCCTAAAGTAAAGAGAGTTTCAGAGTAACGCCGAGTCGGCACGTCGCCCACAGGCAACTCCCGGGAGAGCGGCGCCCGCGGGGGGGGCCGCGGCCCTCACGAGCTACGCGTGCCACGTGCCGGCCTGCTCGGCGCGGGAGCTGCTGCCCGTGCTGTGTCCGCACTGCAGCCTGCAGGTGTGCTTCAGGTGCGTGGCGTCGATACCCGTCTTCCCGTGCCACCCTCCCCCACCCCACTGCGTCGATTCACTCCTCCCCATTTCTTTTTGCACTTCGCCCAGTTCCCGAGCCGCTCCCTGTCTCTACATGCTTCCCAGCCGCTCCACGTGCCTTCCCGTGTGTCCCAGCAGCACCGCGCGTCTCCCGGGCAGCTCCGCCCCTCTCCCCGTTGTTTTCCATCGCCCGTCAGTCGACAGGAGAGAGCATGAAACGTGTACACTATCGTAAGACCTTTCTTTGAAGCAAGCGCAGCAGAGCAAAAGAAGCGACCTTTCCTAGGCTTAGGAAAACACGAGCAATTTGACAAGGCAAAGAATCGAGAGCTTTGTGTGTGCGCGTGCAAGTATGCGTGCATGGGTGGCCAGCAAAACGTGCGGCCGGCCGTGGTGCTGACCACTCACCCCTTCGTGTGCCTTTCTGGCCTTCATAGGTGTTCACTTACAGCACTTGCCCCAACAGTCTGTTGAGGCTATACGGGGGATATTTTTCTTTGTATGTTGGTATTCATGCACAAAGAGCACTTGCAAAGTGGTAAGCGCACCGTACTTTAAACCTGAGTTCTATTCCTGGCCAACAGTCAAAATGATCTTAACCAGTCTCCCTAGGTCAGCCTGGCCTTAAAAGAGTGCCTAGCGTAGTGCGTGAATGAAACATCGGCACCGCGGTTGTGCGCCGTGCTGACCTGAATAGGCGCTCGCGATCAATAAGGGTACACACGGCGGATGCCCGTGTCTGCCGTGTGCGGGCTCAGGCACCGGCACCAGGTGGACCACGCGTGCGTGAACCTCCAGGAGGCGGCGCCGCGCATGCAGCGCACGCAGGAGCTGGTGCGCGGCATCACTGGTACCACACGCACCCTCACGCACGCACCCTCACGCACGCACCCTCGCGCACGCACCCTCACGCACGCACCCTCACGCACGCACCCTCACGCACGCACCCTCACGCACGCACCCTCACGCACGCACCCTCGCGCACGCACCCTCGCGCACGCACCCTCGCGCACGCACCCTCGCGCACGCACCCTCACGCACGCACCCTCACGCACGCACCCTCACGCACGCACCCTCCCGCACGCACCCTCACGCACGCACCCTCGCGCACGCACCCTCGCGCACGCACCCTCACGCACGCACCCTCACGCACGCACCCTCACGCACGCACTCTCACACACGCGGTGGCTGGGTATGCGGGCTACATGACCCAGCCAACGCAGCCTCGCCTGCCGGAGGAGCTCACCGATGGGACCTTGCCCAGATCTTTCAAGAATTTGTGAGCTCCTCACACAATCCAGTCTGGTTAAACCCAGGATGAATCGTAGGCAGGCCAGCCTAAATGTTTCTAACCGGCGAAGATGTTCCATTAGGGGGGTCCACGTTTCGCAAGCCTAGAGAAGGGAGGGAATGACCGTGGCCGAGAAGACCTGAAGCTTAGTGCGGAGCGACAGACCAGGTAGCTTCCATACAGCGTTACGCAACTGATGAAAATATATTGCCGCACGACTAAAACGAAGTGAGACCTCTGCTGTCAAACTGGAGCCGGTCATGAGCACACTGCCCAGGTATGGGAAACTCCCCACTCTCTCCACAACTGCCCCATCACCAATTGGGAGTTGTGGGGGTGGAGTGTCTGATGGTACAAAATACCAGGCAGGTGCTTTGTTTTGGTGGGGCTGATGGTAAGGCCCCACGTCTTAGTGGCACGCTCCAGTTTCAGCAGAAGTGTCTACAACTCCTCCTCTGAATGAGCAGCAATTACCAAATCATCGGCATACATAACGTGGTTGAGCCATCCCTTGACCACACCCGGGCATCGATCAGTCTCCCATTGTATCTGTACCACACACACCCTCATACACGCACGTGCACACGCACCCTCACACACGCACACCCACATGCACCCTCACACTCACACACACAACAGCCGCCATCCGTTGCCAAGTGGTTGTGACGTCACCACGGCCAGGCTTGGTGCACTTTGAAGCCATGTGAAGTGTCGAAGGCCTACTGCTGGTAGGAGGTCACGGGACAGACCCAGGTGCGATGGGTTGACTGACTGAGATGACTGGCAGATCCACCACCTGTGCCTCCTACTGTGCCAACTTTGCCGCGTTTTATCTGCCTGAAGTTCCACTCATTGTTGTGAGCGTCGCGCTTCTCTGCCTTTCGCGTGCCTCCTCACGTACGACATGACCCCATTTCCTCTCGAGGCCACGCGAGGTAGGAGATGTGCTGCACTCCCAGACGTCACGTGATCTCTATGCTGCCGTGAGCCGTGGTCACCACGCGTCTCTCTCCCCTGCGTAGAGGGGAGGCGTGGGGCTGCAACCGCCGCGGGGCGGCGCGGGGCCCGGAGTGCGGCCGTGACCGCGCGCGTGCAGCTCATGAAGACGAAGCAGCAGGCAGTGGGGGAGCAGGGGATCCCTCAGGCACGACCACGCGACACAACGCGATGCCACAACGTGGCGTGGCCCAACACGACATAAGGCGGCCACGGCAGGACTCCCAACGCATCCCATCTCAACAGGGCGCATCGCAGCGACACAACGTGGTCATGCCACCGTGACACGATGCAGCACAACGCAACACATCGCAACAAAGCGACACAACAACACAATGTGGCAACATTGCACGAAGCTACAAGACACAACGAGACGCGCATTGTTGCACGGCACGGCACAATGGCCGGACGCGATACTGCGCGACCAGACAACACACAACGCGCCGTCTCCACCACACTCAACGGCAGTGCGCATCACCGGGCCACGCTGGACCCCAACGGCGTGCGGTGCCTCGCCGCACCACGCCGCACCACGCCGCACCACAACGCACTGTACCTCACCACGACATCCCAAGCTTAACCATTCTGCACTCAAACCCCCCACCGCAACGCACCACGCTTACCCATGCCGTGCCAATTTAACCACGCCACGCCTGGTCACACTCCACCGTGCCGCACGTATTGAAGCCACACTTAGCCACCACGCTGCGCCCACCCCTCTGCGTGCGGCTGTGCGGTTGCAGGAGGAGCGGCTGTACCTGCGTGTGCGGTTGCCGCGACCTGTGGGGGTCTCCGAGGGGCAGCAGCAGCAGCAGCAGCAGGAGGAGCAGGAGGAGCGTGCCGTGTTCGTGTCTCGCGCGTGGTCGGTGGGACGCGTCGTCGACTGGGTCGCCAGCGCCACGCGCCTTCCCAACAACAACCACGTCGCCAGTGCCAAGGTGATCGCGCACTTACACGCTTCTACAGGCGGTACACACGCATCACTCACGCGCACAGTTTACACGTACAGTGAGGGGAAACAAGTATTTGATCCCCTGTTGATTTTGTACGTTTGCCCACTGACAAAGAAATGATCAGTCTATAATTTTAATGGTAGGTTTCTTTGAACAGTGAGGGACAGAATAACCACAAAAAAATCCAGAAAAAGCATGTCAAAAATGTTATAAATTGATTTGCATTTTAATGAGGGAAATAAGTATTTGACCCCCTCTCAATCAGAAAGATTTCTGGCTCCCAGCTGTCTTTTATACAGGTAACGAGCTGAGATTAGGAGCGCACTCTTAAAGGGAGTGCTCCTAATCTCAGCTTGTTACCTGTATAAAAGACATCTGTCCACAGAAGCAATCAATCAATCAGATTCCAAACTCTCCACCATGGCCAAGACCAAAGAGCTCTCCAAGGATGTCAGGGACAAGATTGTAGACCTACACAAGGTTGGAATGGGCTACAAGACCATTGCCAAGCAGCTTGGTGAGAAGGTGACAACAGTTGGTGCGATTATTCGCAAATGGAAGAAACACAAAAGAACTGTCAATCTCCCTCGGCCTGGGGCTCCATGCAAGATCTCACCTCGTGGAGTTGCAATGATCATGAGAACGGTGAGGAATCAGCCCAGAACTACACGGGAGGATCTCGTCAATGATCTCAAGGCAGCTGGGACCATAGTCACCAAGAAAAAAATTGGCAATGCACTACGCCATGAAGGACTGAAATCCTGCAGCGCCCGCAAGGTCCCCCTGCTCAAGAGAGCACATACACATGCCCGTCTGAAGTTTGCCAATGAACATCTGAATGATTCAGAGGACAACTGGGTGAAAGTGTTGTGGTCAGATGAGACCAAAATGGAGCTCTTTGGCATCAACTCAACTTGCCGTGTTTGGAGGAGGAGGAATGCTGCCTATGACCCCAAGAACACCATCCCCACCGTCAAACATGGAGGTGGAAACATTATGCTTTGGGGGTGTTTTTCTGCTAAGGGACAGGACAACTTCACCACATCAAAGGGACGATGGACGGGCCATGTACCGTCAAATCTTGGGTGAGAACCTCCTTCCCTCAGCCAGGGCATTGAAAATGGGTCGTGGATGGCTATTCCAGCATGACAATGACCCAAAACACACAGCCAAGGCAACAAAGGAGTGGCTCAAGAAGAAGCACATTAAGGTCCTGGAGTGGCCTAGCCAGTCTCCAGACCTTAATCCCATAGAAAATCTGTGGAGGGAGCTGAAGGTTCGAGTTGCCAAACATCAGCCTCGAAACCTTAATGACGTGTAGAAGATCTGCAAAGAGAAGTGGGACAAAATCCGTCCTGAGATGTGTGAAAACCTTGGTGGCCAACTACAAGAAACGTCTGACCTCTGTGATTGCCAACAAGGCTTTGCCACCAAGTACTAAGGCATGTTTTGCAGAGGGGTCAAAAACTTATTTTCCTCATTAAAATGCAAATGAATTTATAACATTTTTGACATGCGTTTTTCTGGATTTTTTTGTTGTTATTCTGTCTCTCACTGTTCAAATAAACCTACCATTAAAATTATACACTGATCGTTTCTTTGTCAGTGGGCAAACGTACAAAATCAGCAGGGGATCAAATACTTTTTTCCCTCACTGTACACAGTTTACACACACACACGGTTTACACACAGGCACTGCACTCACTCACGTGTGTGACCGCACGCTACATTTTGGCGTGTTGTGAGCAGACATGGCGGCGCGCGGTTGAGATTGTAGGCGCATCTTAGGATCACGCGGGAATCGTCAAGCGCTAAAAAACTCACAAATCTGCAAGGCTGCAGGGCTCTGGCCAGGAGATGGCAGCACAGCAAACGTCTTGATGAACCTGTTTGTGAGGACATTTGAGTGTCGACTCACCTGTGGCGGATTTTCTTCGTGTACTGCGACATGCAAAATACTTCTTTAAAAAAAAATACTTTGGTCAATCATCCCAATGCCGAACCCTCCTGAATAATGGCCGTGGGACTCAGTGTTGCGTTCTCATGTAAATAACAGGCATCGCTCGCACACCACCATCGCCACCACCGCCGCAGCATCAGCAGCAGCACCTCCACTCACTACTAAGCGGGAGCGACGTCGCCATGGTGCTTGTGCCAGACTAATTTCTAAATTAAGGGCTTCTCACACCATGTCAGTCCGTGGGGGTTGTTTAGCCAAATACGTCACCACACTGGTCAGTGTGGGTTTGTGAAGGGGGGCGGGGGACTCTGGACCAGGCCAGGCATCACAGCCGCCGATGTTGAGCCGTGGCCGGGACTGGAACGTCACGGCACCGTCAACGCCACCACGGCCCCGCGCCGCTCTCGCTTGCAGAAGCTGCGTCTGTGCGACGTGGCGACGCTGCGCGCCTGGCCCATGGACGCCCTCGTGGACTCGCTGCTGTCGGCCCTGGGGAGCGAGGGAGAGGGTGCGGCCGGAGAGGGGCTCAGGGATGGCGGCGGCGTTCTGCTCGAGTACCTGGACCCCGGCTGCGATGTCGCACCGGAAGCTTCGCCACCGTCGGCGACATAACGGCAGTGGTCAGCTCGGCCAGTGACCTTCAAGCCCTCGCCGATGGGGGGGGCGGCAGTCGGCGATGTTGCACGTGTGACCCGTGATCCGCGCGCGTGCGTGTGTGCGCGCCACACGCGTCCGTTGCACTCTGGGTACACGGCCTTGTCCATTAACAGCCCACCACTCACTCTCAACCGCGAGTGACAACCGTCAGTGCCACCAGTGGTTGTTCTGTGGAATGATAAGTCCCTGGCATAGAAAAGTGGAATTTCCAATACAAACTGAGGCCCACTAATGGAGAGAAGCATCACCCAGCACTTGTTTGAGGATGGTCGTTATTTGACTTTACGACCACTTAACCCCATTCGTGATGTCCAGAAGTGTGTTTTGTTTGCCCTCTTGTCTCAAATGTGAAGAACAGCCATTGCTCGTAATATTGCCTTTATTTGTTTTTCTCTTATGAGGCAGTGCCAATGAAGGGAGTGAGGTTTTGATACTTCCTCAGCTGATGACGCAGTTTCTGTTTGGTGCAAGACATTTTCACGACAACTGTAACGGGTGTTCGGTTGGACTAACTCAGGGCCGATGGGCCGCACCACATCCACACTCGCCCCCTAAGCCTCGCAGAACTCCGTGAACAGTCACACACAAGTCACCGGGTACAATTCGCATATATGCAGAGATATCGCACCAAACACAAAGTGCTGTTTGCCACGCCAAGCGCATTTGGCAACCTGCCTATAAGAGCACAGGCACATCTCTCACGACCACCGTCAAGCAGCCGTGATGTGAGGGCCAAACCCGATTGGTTTACAATAACATTTGGGGATGGGGAGGTGGTTTGGGTTAGAAGGCGGTCGATGCATGCCGAGAGAGAGGACCCACCCAAAGAGGAGGACTGCAGCAAAGGTGGAGCGATGGGATCCGTTCGTATGCAGGAACGGGATTGGCTCGCGGTGTCTCTTAGGACCATGAAGAATGGCAACAAGCTTGGGAGAGCTCGGTGGGTTGCGTGCCGGCTGTGCGAGCGACTCTCCGCGGCATCGCGCGCCCGCCTGCTGCTCGCTTGCGCCACGCCGCGGGTGGCCCCAGGGCGGGTGGCACTGCCCCCTCCCGGCTCGCCGCGGTATCGTTATTCGCGGCGATTGTCAAATTTAATCATTTAACGATGATCGCCACAATGAGTTCCCCTTACCTTCTGAATTGTATGTCGCACGTTTAAGCTTGTACGAATACAGATTGATGAAAGTTATTCGACTGTAGTTTACTCAACATAAGCCCGCCCCAAGTCTTAATGCAAGCAGATTCATGGTCTACAATGCGTACGTCTGTGCTGGCAGTTGAGCGAATATTCAGTAATTCTGTGACCTATCAAAATTATGAGGTTATAAAAGGGATGGACAAATACATTACGGAAAAAGGAATGGCCATTGTCTCTTTACTGTAATGGGAAAGCTGAATGCTCGAATATGTTTGAACATCATAACACTGCTGTATTGTTGCCAGAAAGGGTGAAAGCCTATTTTCTTCATTTTGATAGTCAAAAAGGTCCTTATCTATAAAGACCTTAGTCTGTGTCTCAAAAACTCCCAGGGTACTTCCCGACAAGGTAGAAAGCTGACTTTTTGGTACATAGGTAGCCTTTTGAACACAGGAAAAATCTGTAAGAACGAGATTTTTCATTTTAAGGCGCCCCAAATCTGGATTTGCACACATGGCTGGTATGGTGTTATTCAGAAACTGATCAAAACATTTGATGGCGTTTTTTTCGTTTGATGGAGCATTAAACGGAAAATAAAATTAAAGCGAGAACCATTGTTCCATCTTTAATTGTTTTGATATATTTTGGATTTGAACGAAAAAATATACATTTTATGATGGTCAAACCTGAAAAATCGTAAAAGATAGGAGCTTCCCCTCAATAGAGTATGAAGTACATTTTTGTTCTTTCTAATAACGGAATATTTAAATTGAGCAGTTTGTGCGTGATATGGACACACGTGTGTGTGTGATATGGACACACGTGTGTGTGCGTGATATGGACACACGTGTGTGTGCGTGATATGGACACACGTGTGTGTGTGTGATATGGACACACGTGTGTGTGCGTGATATGGACAGACGTGTGTGTGCGTGATATGGACACGCAGACAGATCCCCGCCCTCACTTATCGGCTTAACAGATTGTTAGCGAAAGTGATGTTAGCGAGCACCTGTGAAGGTCGGCTCGGCACACGAGGGGGTAGGTGGCAAGCACCACGCCCGGCCGCCTTTGTCTCTCCAGCGGCGATGTTTACACACCGCACCAGGCACTAATTTTGAGGCTGAGTCGACCGAGGGGATGCCCAGGACCGATTCGAATAACCGCCACTGGTGGTGGCCGTGGGCGGGAATCGAACTCGGGTCGCCGGGTTCGTAGTGCAGCGTGCTAAACGCTGCGCATACACGCGCGCATGCACGCGCACACACGCACGCATGCACACTTGTGTACCCAAACACACGAGCGCAAACAACGAACAGTCCATCTCGGCGTCTTCGGTACGGCCGCAGAGACCATAATGGATGGGTGTTGCAGGCGGTACCGTGGGTGAACTCTGCATTGTGGACGTTGGCATCAAGATAGAAACACCAAACCCACAAATCCTGGACGACTCGGCTTGGCGCTGGGGCCATCGGGAGCGGGGTGCGGACACGAGGGGGTGTCTCAGCAGCCGTGGGAGTCACCTTCATCCGCACGCGAGCCACTTGCAGATCAAAACACGAGTTTGCGTTTATAATTGTAAGTGATGCCACCAGGAGACAGCTTCAGCAAATTCTAGATTTGAAGCTTTCGTGACTGCAAGGATCCCTTCTATGTGACTTTACCGAAAGAATATGAATCCCTGCAGTCACGAAAGCTTTAAATCAAAATTTAGGTGTTAAGATGTTAAAACACCCAACTGAAACCTTTTACCAGGAATCATGTCTACATTGACCACAATGCTTGTGGTCAGAATGCAAATATAAAAAACACTGATACTCTTTGGTTCTATTCGGTAAAGTCACGTAGGTAAAAAATAAAACAAAAATCACGACGTTTCGGCCACAACACAAGCGGCCTTCATCAGGTGAAGGGACCAGACTGTCTCGAGGACAGCGCTGGAGTGAACACAGCCAAGCTCAGACCGCGACCTTTAAGCTGTGAGAGGAATCAAGGTGCCTTGACAAAGGAATTAGCATGAAAAATTAGCATTTAATTGGCGGACTTAGCATGATGAAAGGTGAACATGTGCAGGTCGGCGAGGGGGGGAGGTGTGAAAGGGAAGAAAAGGGAAGCACGAAAGTTTGGGGTACCACTACTTGAAAAAATATACTGTACCATTGAAAATGAGTTTAATGTTTGGTTTGATTTAGAACATCTTTCCAATGGTTGCTTAATTTGAAACCGTCTTCTCGGTTGAAATTGTGCCTGTGTTTGTAAATCTGAATTGCCTCGTGAACAAATCTCTGATAAAAACCCGTGGGTTTGCAAAGAAACTTGGTATTGGAGAAAATTATATCGTGATCACCCACAGCGTTGTAACAGTGATCAGCCACGGCAGAATAATTCGTTCTGCCGTGTTTCAAATCTGATTTGTGCTCGCGAATTCGGTTAGAGACATGTCGCTTCGTCTCCCCGATATAGCAATCACCGCAGGTACAACTCAATTTGTAAACCCCGGGGTACTGTAAGTCAGGAATGACATCCTTCACGGATGGGATCAGATCACGAATTGTGTGTACTGTATTGAACCGGACCTGGATCTTGTTTGTTTAGAATTTTGGAAATCTTTTTAGTGACGCCTGCTATATATGCTAGTGTGATGGTTTTAACCGGAGTATCAAGTGGTTGTTTCTGTATGGAGGGAGAGACAGCTTGGGGGATGGTACGGTCAGAATATCCATTCCTTTTGAGGGCCAGGTGTACATGTTTTAATTCACTGGTCAGGTGGTGTTGGTCCGAAATGCAATGAGCCCAATGGTATAAAGTTTTGATGAGATAATTCTTTTGAGCTGGGTGGTGGTGGGAATCAGGTTTCAAGTAGGAATCTGTGTGGGTGGGTTTCCTGTAGACAGAATGCCCCAATGAGCCATCAGGTCTCCTCTCAAACAGAACATCTAAGAATGGTAGCTTGCCATCTTTCTCCACTTCCATGGTGAATTTGATGGCAGGATGTCTGGAATTGATGTGGTGTCAGAAAAGGTTCAGAGCTGGGAGGCCATGTGCTAATTCCTTTGTCAAGGCACCTTGATTCCTCTCACACAGCTTAAAGGTCGCGGTCTGAGCTTAGCTGTGTTTCACTCCAGCGCTGTCCTCGAGACAGTCTGGTCCCTTCACCTGATGAAGGCCGCTTGTGTTGTGGCCGAAACGTCGTGACTTTTGTTATTTTTTACCTACGTGACTTTACCGAATAGAACTTCAGCAAATTATTGAATAGCTCTCTGTCTTGTTCATGTTTTGATAAAAAAAAAAATCGCAAGCGCATGTGACTGAGTGCAACATTTTTTTTAAAGAAAAATACTCGCAGAACTTGAGTTGTCAAGTGGGGGAAATATATATAATTTTTATTTTGCCGTTTAAAACAAAATTTGTGAAGACAACACGTTTTAGACGGACGATTCCAATGCTCACTCGGGCTGGGTGTGATCTTGCGGGGGACACCAATTAACATAATTGGACCTAACTCCACACGCGTTGGCGGAGAGGCGACTTCCACGGACGTCGCACAGAAGAGTGTTCAGATCTCCAAGACGCTGTGCAGACCTGCCCATTGTTCCGTCAAGACGTCGGCGGAAGCCGCCACTCCGTCCACGCACGGTACGAGACCTCTTGTCCGGTGGGCCGTGGGCCCGGGCTGGAAGTGCCCCCCCCCCCCCTCCTTGCGTGCCCCAAACCCGGATTCCCCTTTCACAGGCCGGGGGTGGGGGAGACTCCGCGTCAGTCTGGGGATGAGGGTAGCTGGAACCACCACGACCCCACGGGACAAGCACAGAGGCTCGGGTGGCCTCTTCAGACGCCCGACGAGCTGCGAGCTTCGACTCGCGTTGAGTTTTCTGCCGCTCCTGGCGCGCAGCAGAGAGACCGCCGCCGTTTCGTTTGACCCACGCGATACCGGCGACCTCGCGAGTGCATTTGATGCAGCTCACTCTCCGGCCGCTGCTTCTTCAACGTAACTCTTCTATTATTATTTTAAAAATTTCCTCTCCCCGTCTCCCCCGTATCTCTCGTCTCTCTCACCCTGTCTCTCCCTCCCCTGACGATTTTAATGCAACAACAAAGCAGATGCACGGGATCTGAATAAACACAAACAAATGTTTAGCTCGGCGCGTGGCATTCACACGTGGACGCACACACTAACGAACAGAAACAAGAAAAAATAACAAAAACATAAAATAATAAACACTTCAACAATGTCCATTTGAAATGTCTACCCATTGGGTAGGGAATATGTGCATCACATATTATTATATACAGCGCCTTACAGCAATTATACACACACGTATAGCATAAGCCAATCAACCATAAGCACCGTAGAGTATAATATTTGAGTGAGGCACGGCGCGGGTGAGCAAGCACTTGCAGTGCAAAATTACGTGGGTAGGGGGGGGGGGGGTCTCTACCCAGAGCTGCCACGGCCTCTCCCCTACCCACCCCCGTCACAGGCTGGGGAGGGGAGCGGGTGGGTGGGTGGCTGCTGCCCGTGGCTCTGCTCGTCAGCGTTGTTGTGTCGTACGGGACAGCCGTGCAAGTAACGGTCAGGCCGGCGGGGAGACACGAGGAGTGAGACACGGGGGGAGGGTGGGGGGGCTGACGCTGCATCATTCGAAATTGGTTCCTTCAGCGTCTCTGCGAGCTCCTGCTGTTGCTTTGCTGGAAAACGAGTGGCTCAGCTGTTTTCAGGCCAGCGCTGACATTGACAGGAAGATGTAACCCCAACAACAAGCAAGCTCCTCGCATAGGCAGCGGCCTTTGGCTGTGTGTCCCGGGCTGACCGATACTCGGCCGAAGCTTCAGTGGCGAGAAAGCAAACATTAAAAACCACGCTCAGCTGCTCTTATCACAGCGCTCTCTCTAGAATGAGAGTAACATCAGTGACAAGCCTGACGGTTATTTTAAATGTTGCTTTTTCTCAAATAACGAAGCTTCACCCTTGCGTTGGGACAGCCCGGGACGCAGAGCGGGTGTAGATCTACACGAGCTCGCTGCTTTTTGGGATGAATCTTCTCTCTATGGAGGCGAATGGTCAAGAACCGCATCGCTGGCCAAATCTCCCAAGCAGGCCTCTTGACGTCAGAGTGGTGGCGACACAAATTGAGGCTTTCCCAGGGAGAGGAAGAGAGCGGACTTTGGCGCGTCCAGAGCAGCGTCTCGCTGCGATTATGGCGAAGCGCAGCCTCTGACACTTGGGTGAAGGAACCCAACCGGAATGACGCGGAGCCGGCACCCTGCTACTTAGCGCGCAACCACAGCACGCGGGCCACACGGCCACGCTCACGGCCGAAGCGTGCTCGCGCTCGTGACAACGATCGGAGAATAACGTGGGATCGACAGCGTGCCTGTGGCAAGATGGACATCTCGAAGGGCAGTGGTTACGGTCGTTGTTTGGCGGGTTGAGGCGAGTCTCGTTCATCCACGCGGGCGGGCGGGCGGGCGGTGTCGGAACCCAGTGGGCACTGGGTCCCACGGTGGTGAGCCATTGCAGGTGTCCTGAACGATGTCGAGTGATAACTTAGCTGAAATAGCAACACGCCTTTCACCACATTTTGGGTTGAACCCACATCCGTAACTTTAAAAAAAAACTGCTT